TCAACAACACTATATGTAAAGGTAATCAAATTGCATAACTTTAAAGTAAACATCTATATTATTTTGTATGTACTAAGCCGTTGCAATCTATTGCAGAAGATTGGAAATGTTGGGACAAAGCGATAAAATGTTTTCTTAACTTGTTTGGTGCTAAGTCAACAGCGCTAAAGTGCATGTAGAGAGACCACGAAGAGAATACTTACGGATTTTCCTGATATTTCCGTACCTACTATAATGTATTGAATATTAAACTTAAAGTTTTACTAGGGAGAAAATTGAATTGTCTGATTGATCTGAAGGTTTTGTCAAATCGTGTGTTATAATTATTATAATCACTGTTCACTGTTATGTAACTCTGGAATTGCTAGTTGATAAACCCAACTCCATTAATCTATACCGATATTATAAAGAGGAAAGATTAGAATTTATGGATTTCTAAAATTCCTGTACCATTAAAAAACTACGTATCGCTGAGTAACATATGCTATGTTTAAAGAATTATTTTTACTTCGATGCGGATGAAGTTTCGAACAACAGTAAATAAGATAATCATTAATAAATAATTAAAATAAAGAAGATCACATTAGTTTATCGACTATTGTAAAATACAGATCATTATCCGGAATATTGTAGTAAACATGTCCACTATAGTGATGTTGCGTAGTATAGTGCATTGACTCTGTCCGCCTCACCCACTGACTCAGTGACACCTTATCTATCTCTTTCGCACTTGTGTGAAGTCGTATTATCTCTTTCATGCGTGCTTTTTACAAGACTTTTCCATAAGTTAACCGGATTCGAAAGGGCCTAAACCTATTGGTATTTTCTTCCATTTACTTGATAAATGTTAGTATTATTTTACTTTAATCAGATCAAATATATTTAAAAAAGATTCAGTGGTTATTTTTCTCGAAAACGGGAAAAACATTTCCTCTCGTTATCACTTAAAGTAATTAAATTGATGGTTAAAGTTGAACGGAAACTTCAAAACAAAACTATACTCAGAAACTTTCACAAAACAATAGGTTGTAAAAAGTGAAAAGCAAATTAAAAAAAAAATGAAATACCTATTAATGTGTAAAGAACCCTAATTGTATTCAATACCGTGAAAAAGTTACACGGAAACAGTAACTAGCTTTTGCCCGCGACTTAATGGGAATTAAAATAATGGGTAGGCTAGTATTTCCAGCCTTAATCTATGCTATTGCTATGCTATATACAGACATACATCCATACAAACATTCGTATTGATATTGTTAAGAAGTAAGATATTCATATGCTTCTAAAATTAAATAGTTTTGCATGCGACTGTACAAATATGGTAAGTTTTGTTATTTTTAGTTTCCACTGACGAAACAATTTTACGAAAACATTTTATATTTTTTGTGAGATGATTGTTTGTTAAATTTGTATAAAGAATTCGCCAGTCACCATTACTATTTTGTATGCAAAAAACGTTCTATTCAAGTAAGAGATTCTAGGTCTTAAAATCATGATGTTAAGAATTATTTTCACTTGACATAGATATGAAAGAAATAAATGCGGAACGTGTGATAATTATTTGACAGTCGTACTTTTAATTAAGACTTCTTAGATGTATAACGAATACTTTTTAAATTCAATCCTAATTACACTAAGACAAGATTCAAAATTGTGTAAAATCTCTCACAAAGCTTGTTTATTAAAGTTACCTAAACTTCAATAACTGCATTTATTAGGAAGTCATCGGTAGCAGGAAGTAAACTTTTCTCAAACAAGTAAAATAAGTTAACAAACAAGAAATCATACTAATATTATAAATGCGAAAGTTTAGATGGATGGATGGATGTTTGTTAGCTTAACGGATTTCGTTGAAATTTGGTATAGATGTAGAGGATAGTCTGCAATGACACACTTTTGTTGTTATTTTTATAACACGCGGACGGAGTCGCGAACTAAAACTAGTTCTAAATATTTTAAGTGAATTCCTACTTATTATGGCCATTAAATTTATGAGTACGGAGAGTAAAATATAATTGATTTACAACTAAAACTCTACACAGCCCGCACATAGAATTATGTCGGACACACATGACACAAATCTATGTCGTCGATGGCTAAACTAATATTTAATGTCGGCACACTGACATAGAACGTGCTACGGACGTAATATTAACTTAAAACTCATTAAAACTTAAGTTTAGACTCACATAAATTAAAACAACGGCCTATTCAAGTTACATGTGATCTTTCACATGACATTTTTACCACTTTCTACTAAGTTATTTGTGCTAATTTACTTGGGTAAAAAATGTACTGTAAGTATTTAAAATATTTCTTGTTTTAACAGAACTTATAGCTAGCAATTCGTTGTCTCTACAGAGAATCGGAACAGCATGTACTCTTTCATATATCTCTATCAGCCGTTATGTCTGAATCCAATCTCTCCGCAAATCCTCTTTCCTTCAGTCCATCCATACTCTCGGTCTACCTCTACCTTAGTAGCCATTCACATCTAATCTTAATACTCTCTCATTTCGACCACATAACTATTAAACTTTGAGTAATGTAGACAAGAAACAGTGATGTATGGAAGCACATATTATGCCGACCCTTCGTAGTTTTAAATAATTAATATAATTGTAACTCGCAATATTAATTTTAGCACTGCACCACACTGAACTGACGGTCCCGCCAGGAATACCCGCAAATAATCGTCCTTCTGATGACATTGACATCTGTCAGCTAGGGACGTGAAGTTTATGCCGATAATCTAGTGTTGCGCCAATTCTACAGCACGGTACTAACTTTCTTCTTAACAGTAGATACAAGGGCAGGTTCATAATGTTATTTCATGGTTAAGAATTTAAGTCCTCGTATTACATATCTATTGTATTATAAATAGACTACTGTTAGAAGGTAACCAATATAAAATAAAGCTATCAATCCTACAGTAACAGGATGTCCTTATACGTGAGTGGGTCGAGTTGCGAGCGCGTCCGGGGCGCGAGCCACTGGCACAGTGCCCGCATACTGAACGTTGAACTGATTGCAATTTGAAAAGAAAATGTACATTCAAACGTTGACATACGCTGACCACTTTTTTGCAAACTAGTGTATGCAGAGACTACAACAAGTATCGGTAAAAATGCATTATGTAAATAAATCGGACAGACTAGAAATTTTGTTTTGATTCTTCAACCTACATTAAAAGTCACTTTTAGTGACATACTAGCTGATGCCCACGACTTCGTCCACACAATATTTAAATGCAAAAGTAGCCTATTATATGCCCATCTATGTCAGCTACCCTTCAGTGAAAGTCTGGTCGAAATAGGTTCAGCTATTTCGGAGATTACCCGGAACAAACGCGGCTTGCCGACAGACAGACAAAATTTTTTTAATGCGATTTCGATATTAGCAACGCAAATACATCTTTCCGAAATTTGGAATTTATCTTTTGATATTACAAACAGACACTCCAATTTTATTACATGTATAGATTAACGTTTCAGAGCGTGGTAAAAGCATATAAAAAGAGGGCCATCTCGCGCATGGCAATAGTATTATCAAATTAAATTTAGATTTTTCTTAAATCGTATTTTACAAACGACGTTTTGTTGGTAGATAAAAGTTAATAAATTTGCATCTTATCCGGTACTAAAGTCACAAGATATGTCGTAATGGTTACAATAACCTAGATGTCTGGAAAGTAGCTGCTACAAGGTCGACGTGAATTATTTACAAAACTTATTGTAAACGCGAAATCATATCCTTATATTGTTAATTGCCTTTTAAATCAACTTATCAAGTAAATGTTAATCGTACTTTTTACACAGATATTTGCGTATATTATAAAGAAATACTCTGTTAAAAATATGGACCGGTCCCACCACTGGCTGCTAGAGGCTCAGATAGCTTAAAAACGTCACTGTCAGATAAGGGAAAAACCGATATTTCCATCACAAATTACACGTTGGATTTTTATCAAACAATTTATAATTTGGTGGGACTGGCCCTTAGTATGGTATGTGTTCTTCTAAACTATGTTTTATATTAGTGCCTTTCGTCGAGATCTATTCAACAAACATTCTTCTAAAATTAAGTATTTTTATTATTAGTAGGATACAATAGGTCCACGTGAAATGGTTTTAGTGGCTTTATTCCTACAACATAATATGCAAAAATTACTAGTGCGTTTAAAAGATGACATAGTACACAATCTGTCGGTGACATAAACCTGTGTTTTCCGGTCACATAGATAGTAATTTTGTACTTGATTAACCAACATCTTTGCGAAAGTGTTCGTCCATTGTGGGATAAACAGAACTATGAGAAAAAAATCTTGCGTAAATACAACGTTAACAATGAAAGTTATCCAACGTACAATCAAATAACATCGACATTACTTCATATAGGTATTTATGAATATTTTTAAATAAGGTACACTAGTTACATCATAAAAAGACAATTTTTGACAAGAGTGATAAAGTCGTCAAATAAAATACTATGTTTTTAAAATCTATACTATTATAATAAAGCGTTAACACATACTTCTTTGTTGCCTAAGATGTCAGCAACAACAGCATATTTTCGAATATTTTTTTTTTCTAATGAAAAGTCCTACACTTACGTAACACTTTAGGATATACATATTTTTACGCCGTTAAACTTAGAGGTAAATATCAAGGAAGCAAGGTGACCTTAGTTTGACATCATGTCATGTCATTTTGACATTTGCAATGGATAATTTGACAAATGTGAACAATGAAATGATTATTTTTAATTTTATGCGGATGAAGTCGCATGGGAACAGCTAGTACTTAATATATAAGGATAAGGGAAGATTAATTAGAAACTAATATGAACGAAAATAAACATCCTTATATAATATTGTTGTCAAAATTGAAAGTGCATAATTAAAATATTGCTATTAAAATATTGAAGGACTAATTTGTTTTTATTTTTAAATAGTTCATTTTACATGAGAAATATGTTAACAAAATACTTTTTTGTTTTAGAAACAAACGAAAACGAATACACGGAAGGATTAAGAATAAAAAGAGAGGGAGTTCCGGAAAACAGGGGTGAGTAACATTTTGACAACTAAACTATTAATTTCTGTAAAATATTTCTATGCTTGTTTTAAAAAAGAACTGATTCTTATAGTTTTGATTTTTAATGTCTTGCATTGCCTGTGTGTGCATCTTAAATCTTCTTTATTTTCTCCTTCTTTAATTTAATTCTATCAATAAGTAAAACTAAGCATATAAGAGTAAGATAGAAGCATGTAAACAATCATATTTAATTAATGGAAAGAAAATAAAACTTAATGAATTAACTTCTTAATTTATTTGTCAAATGTTTCTATCTTTTTAGATTGAAATGTGCGTTTTTAAAGATGATTTAAATAGCTTTAATGCTTTTTTAAATTTTACAACACTAATCATCTGCAAACGTACATTTCTGAATATTGTGTAAATTAGTGCTAACAGAGTTTAAATTGCATTATATATTCTATTAGAATCTAATTACTATATTCTATTTTATAGCATTATTAATTATATGTTTTTTCTTTCTCTTTCAAATCTAATCCCCGGTCGTGGTCAACGTATGAACTCAAATGGACCTTGTAAAATAAATCGCACCCTAAACCCTTCCACGACTCGACTTTACGTTGACTATTGACAAAGACCTGACAGTCCTGCTCGTGAATGACCAGAAGCGAGACTACAACACGAAGATTGGCAGATACCACAGCGTTAAACCTCTAATCGGTCTATTAACATCTACAGCCAGAACTTTCATCCAAGACGGCGTTACAACTGAATATGCAACGCAAATCTTAGGAACAACGTTAGATAACGGCCGCATTTACGCACAACTTCTAACGAAATCATCACTCGTTCTTTATAATAAGCCATCGAATGTTGACGATCCCTTTATTGTACAACCGACACGTGTTCATTCCGCTTTCGATGGACAATGGAACGTCAAACAAGACTTAGGTATTATTGATCCTGATAAGTTTATCTTAAAGAATACCGATTACTTAGCACCGAATAGTAAAATGGACATAGTCTATGCCAGTAAACTTGCCAAAGAACCTTCTGTATTTTGGAATCCACCAAGTGCCCCTGAACCACAATTAGATAACCAAATTTTAGAAGAACCAACAGGTCGTAGAGTTCAGGCTTACAATGAAATCCCCAGATACGAAGTATATAATTATCTTGACGGTCCAGCCATCGAAAGCGAGAAAAAGTTTGAATTTATCGTAGAACCTTCCGTTTCTGAAAATGCGAATAGTTTCCACCGTCAAAGTAAAGCTTATGAGCCAGTTGCTGATTCTGAAAGTGTTAGTCCTAAGCTAGAAGAACCTATAACTGAATCTAATGTTGTCAAGGTAAAACCAGATTACGATTTACCAACTTTTACTATCAAAAACGAGTTTTCACCAATATTTTATTATATTGATAATGTCGAATCTCGTCACCCTCCACAGCAACCGACTCATCAAACAAAAACACCTAAAAAGTTGTTTGGACAAAAGAGTGAACCTAGGCCTAAAAAGACATTTACTTATGAAGGTTTCGCAGATTTTACAACTGTAGTCGGTGATACTGTCATAATATTTACACCTAATACTGAAACTGTTAGGCCCCCTAATCCTGACGAAGTTAACGTTTTTCCTTCAGCAAAACCAGTAGATAAACTAGCAACTAAAATAACATTCCTATCTGCCGATATACCCGTGGCCACCGCAACTTATAAACCACATGAAAACATTGATGCTACAAAAATGACAACCATTCAAACAAGTAGCGAAGAGAACATTACAGAGCAACCTGTTTACAATGATGAAGAAAGTTTGAAAAAGGTTTTATATGAGGTTGATGATAAAATGTCACCTACTGTGAGCGTCCAGTATAATAATGGTTTTGATTTTAATATGGACGTCATTCAACCTTCCGAAACTTCTTATACTACAACTGAAAGCACAAGGCCTATGGATGATTTGGAAAATGCACCTATTCAGGAATATGATACGAATCCGACCGAGCCACTAAACACAATTCAACCGTCTTCTACAATCACAGAAGAATCAATGGAATCCGTTGTAACTGAAAGTGACATAAAAGAAGCATTCACGAATTCTGAGGAAGAAACAGAGAATACGGCAGCTGAAGTTACAGAGAAAATGGAGGAGGCAGAAGAGATAGAGGAAGAAGATGAAGAAGAAAATACAACTGAGGTTCCAGAAATTTACACTACGACGGAAAGTGGGCACAGTGATGAGTCTTATGAAGATATCGAAACTACAACAGAAACTAAACATGACACTCATGAAGATGTTTATTGTACTGATGGATTTGAAGAGCAATCAACAATGACAACAGCTTATAAAACATTAACTTATTTAACGACTTATTTCATACCATTAGAAAACACGGAAACCACAACTTCTGTGGAGTCAAATATTGTAGTTACAAGTGACACTGGTTATCTAACAAATATTGTATGCAAAACAAATTCGGATATTGAACCCACGTCAGTTGTATCTGTCAAAGTGAAAAATACTGATCAAACTAATTTAAAAGCACCAGAAGTAGTTACTGAATCGAATGTTGTATCTCCAAAACAGGATTATATAGTTACTGAAAGTCCAAAAACGACACCTATGGAAAAGGAGATTTTGACAACAGCTCAGGAGGAAGAAGAAGAAGAAGAAACTGAAACCACAGATGATGAAGAAAAAGACGATTTGAGTGATGATCTAGTCAATAATCAGCCTTCCACAACTACAACTGAAAGAGTATCTACTAGTCATGTTGAGGTGTCAGTTAGCACAGAAGGTACTCCAACCGAGAAACCAGTCGTTGAGGAATATGATGATGCAAAGATTTCTGAAAACGAAATTGATCTTATCTATAAAACGCTTTACACGACGTATACCTATTTAACAACTTTCTTTGGTGATCAAACTTCCAGTGTAGCCAGTCATAAATCTGTAGTTACAAATATTATTACATCCACGGTCGACCTTTCTAATTTAGATCCCTCCCTACTCGGAGCGTTTGGCGAGGATGACATTTCACCTACAAAAGTTGCAGTTGATCAGCCAACACAAGGTTTTGCAATCAATAGTATTATTGATTTAGTTAAAAATAAAGATGTAATTGAATCTGTAGAAAATGAAGGTTCATACAGTTCTCAAACACCGACACCTTCATTAGGTGATGATGTTATTGCTAGTATTAAGCCGGATGCTGTGAAAACTTATTTTACAACTTACACATTTTTCACAACGATTTACGTAGGTTCAGACGCAAATGTTTGTAGTAGAAGTGAAATACATACTAATTATGCTGGCCCGGATGATTTGGTACCGACCAAAAGTAGTCCTTTAATAGTTGAAAATACCAGAGCTCAATTTGATTTTAGAAATTGTAAGCAAATTAAATCTGATCAAATTTCTCAACAACCATCTGATAGCACAAATGCTGATGACAATAACCCTCAGAGTATAGATGATTCTAAAAGAGGCATTCAACCAACACCTATTGAAGTTGACATGTTGCTTAGTATAGAGTCGAATCCATTGGAATCTGAGAACTCTTACGTAACCGACTTTAAGTCATCTTCGTCCAAGGGTGAGAGGAAGATAATAGACAACAACAATATCATATTAGACGACCAAATAAGCTCAGAAAGTAACATTGAGGAGATCCTTCCTTCTCCTACATTATTGTTACAAACAAGTTATACGACATTTACATATTTTACAACTATGTATATAGGAAAAGATTCCAGTAGAGTAAAAAGTCGTTTAGAAACTATAACTGATGTAGTGACTGAAACTATTACCCCTAACCTGGAACCTGAAGAGGATAGCAACTTACCAATTACATATTACACGACATTTACTTATTGGACGACATTATCTAAAGACAAATCCACAACAATCACTAGTCGAGAAGAAATAGTATCAAATGTTGTAACTCCAACTCCTCAAGCTACTTCCACAATAAGTCCAATAGACACAACACCAATTGATGTCGATAGTGTTTTACCACCAAAAGAATTAGAAATAGGATTAAAACCTTCAGTTATTGACGATAATTTAGAACCAGATGATGGTAAAGCTACATTTTACACTACGTACACATACTTCACTACTTTCTATGCTGGAAATATATCGCAAATCAGAAGCAGTTTGAAAACCGTAACTAATATTGTTGAAAATTCCCAGGTAGTTGAGGATAATCAGTTAGGTCGTAAAGTTGGTGGTGTGCCAGCAGACAAAAATCTCATTCAAGATAGCGGGGATAAGCCAAACAGTGGAACGCCTGTAGTTAAAGAAGAAATTAAACCAACTAAGATACCCGATATTTCATCAGTTTCATCTACAGTACTTCTAGGCACTTACATTGACAATTTATATGCTGAAGTTAAACCTCCAGAAAATAGTAAAGTTCCAGAAGAAAAGAAAATATTGTTCTCTCAAGTTGCAGTTATATCCGGTGATTCAACTATTGTCACAAGTGATAACAAAACCTTACAAGATATTCCGAATTCATCTACGACCACAACCACAACTACAACATCGACTACCTCTACTACAACAGAGGAATCGATAATTAGTCCTTCGCCTGATGTAATTGAAAGTTCCGTTGAAGAAACTACTACTGAATCTAAGCCAGAGCAAGAAGAAGAAAATGATTCTAGCTCTAAAAAGAAGGGTCGTCTTACATTCACGACTAAAAAGCCATCCTTTACCCCAGTGATAATACCATTTGCATCAAGAAATAGACCAACGTTTAGCCCCAAACGTGTACCATTATTGAGTAGTGCTACCACAATTACCCGTTCTGATTCCACACCAACTATCACCGCAACTCCTACACTGAAATCAGTTCGACCATCAGGTTTTGGTGGTATTAATAGAAAGCAATCTGCATCACCTGTATCTCCCGGCCGAAGATTTTCTGGTCGAAGTAGCGGTGTAAGTCTATCCGTTAATGTTCCGTCTGCATCTAGAGCTGGAGGTTTTGGAAGAGCAAGTATTCAACCCTCCTCAAGAAGAACAGGATTTAGATCGAGTTCAGTAAGAAGTAATAGTTTGGACTTTGCTAGTAGATCCGCAGTAGCACGGATAAGGCCCACTGCTTCTTCTAGACTAAGAAATAGTAGACAGTCTTCAACCTTATTCCAACCATTTAATGAACAAAATGAGTCTGAAACCACCCAGATAGAAGAAAATGTCACGGAGTCCTTGGATGAAGTAACAGAAACATTATTAAGAACTACAAATAATCCATTGTTGAAATTTAGAAGACCGCCTATTGCGAGACAGCCAGGTACAGCGATATTGCCACGGTCAACTACACCAACAGTAAAAAGGAGTGGAAATCTACGCGGTAGAACAACCACTACAACTACAAAGCGGACCACGAGACGTTCTACAGCAAACCCATTATTATCTTTACGTAGACAACGACCAAACTCTCTTTTCCCGAGAAGAAATCTGTTCAGGCAACCTGAACCCGAGCCTGAAGAAGAAATTAAAGAAAATGAACAGAAAGTAGAAGAGGAAGAAGAATTATTAGAGGAGGAAGAATTTGAAGAAGACAACGATTATGAATCGTCTGATAGGAAGGAACAACAAGTTGCTACCCCACCTACACTTGCTGCAAAGCAAAATAATATAGTACAAATTAGACCTTTTGCCTTCAGAAGGCGAACAAAACGTCAAGTCGATTATGGTAATAGGAAGTATAATAATTTTAGAAGACCAGGTCTTAAATCACCTTCAACTCGCCGTCCTGAACCGGAACCAGAAACAGAAGCTCCTGCGCCCGCTACACCTAAACAAAAAACAGGTCGATACAACGGTCGAACGGCAAAAACTACTACAGCTGCAGCACCTAAGTCGTCGCCTAGACAATCTTTTATAGTACGTGGTGAAAGTCGAACCTCAAGTACAACATCTGCACCTGCTTATAGGAGAGGTAAAGCAAGAGCATCATCAAGAACCACCACCCATTCATCTAGACCAAAAGCACCGAGACTATCTAGTAAGAGTTCTGATAGAACAAGACCAGGTTCATCGCGCAGTTCTACAAGTAGATCTCGTACTCGTACCACTACTAACAGAGCATCAAGTAGACAGCGCAATTCGTTTGAAAACCTTAGCGCAGAAAGACATAGACAGGATTCTTACAACAATCTATTAAATGATGGAAAAATCACCATAACACACCAAATTCCAGTTGAAGTTACAGTTCCAGTTGTTAACGGCAAAATAACCGAGTACAAAAACCTTTTATCAGCTAAGCCAAGCACTGAAACATTATTGATAAACCAGGTTTCTACATCGATTGGCCCGCTAGGTAATCAACAGTTAGTCCTTGCAATTGAATCAACTGAATTAGCTGAAAACGGCGCTACTAAAGTAACAAAATACGTTTTACATGAAACGCCCACTACCACAGTTATTTTTACACCCACTACTATAAGAGGTCGGAAAACTTCCTATTCACATATATTACCCAGTACCGTGTATAATGTAGAGCCGGTCGTTCAAACCATAAGTCCTGAAATCAATGCAAATGTTCCATTAGCCAATTTATTACTATCACAACTTTTGTTGGGTAATCAACAACCTGCGATCAATCCACTTTTGGCGTTGCAAGGACAAGCTTTGTTACCACAACAACAAGTTGTACAAACACCTGTCACTGAATACAAAACTAGAACAACCACTTTCGTTACAACAGTAACAGATGCTAGGGAAACTGTCTTGCCTATTACATTCAGGGGTAAAGCTATTCTAACAACAATTGTTGATCCTACAACAAATGTAATTACCGCAACAGAATATGTTACCGATACTGTTGTTACCACTCCCACTGTACTTGCACCGCCTCCTCAATTGAATTCATTGTTATTGCCTTTGTTATTACAACAGCAACAACAGCAGCAACAACAACAGCAACAACTATTGTCTCTACCCACAGCTAATCCTTTACTAGGTTTAGCTCAACCAGATCTTAATCTATTACCTAACAACAATTTGAATTTAAATAACGATATCTATAGCAACAGCCCTAAACCCAATATTCTATCAGATCTGAATAGTAATGAAGATTTCTCTGAAGATATTGAGGAAAGCGGTGAAGACACTCCTCCGCCACCTCCACCTTCCTCATCTTCACACGTACGACACAGGGTAAGGACACCTAAACCCAGCCCACCTAAAATGACTAGTGTGGTAACATTATACGTATCTGGTAAATTCCCTGGTGAATTCAGTACAGTACTCTCAACTATCGTCTCAGATGACACACAAACAGTACGTAAACGTGAAGCAATTTATTACGATGATGTTAAAATAACATCTACCCTATTACCATCAATTGATCATCTTTTAGGCTCGCAATCTGATATTTTGGATAACGGGATAGCTTACGATGAATCGAATTCATTAGAAAGTAAAAGCGAAACTCAAAGCCTTGAAAGTATAGTTGGCAAGATCAGTGATCACATACGTTTTGATTCATCGCCGACTTATGTTGTTAAATTAGGAAATCCGTCATCCATTAGAGATAGAAAGCAAACATTAGTCGACGTCTCTTGAACTCCAAACAACTGGTTAAGTGTGTAACATAAAATTTTAGTTATTTATTTATAATGTATTATAGTTATGAATAGTGCCTTATAGTTGTAGTTATTTGTACAATTTAACGAATACTCTTTTAAGTACGAAATGTACATAATTTTTTATAATAAAATTCGTCATTACTCACCAAAAAGGTTTTCTTATCGTTACCAGGTTTTGATTAATGTAACAGTTAGTTTTATAGGTAACATGTACTGTTTTATCACTGCCTAAGAATAATTCAACTTTTTTAGTTTAGTACTTCTATGTAATTCTAATAATACTCGTAATCTTCTTGCTTTTAATTGTAAATTGCAAATTACGACTTAAAGTATTAAATAATAAAATTGAAATAAGATTTTAAAGGTTTGTTTTATTTTTTATTTTAACTAAGACACATTGAACTACGCATAATTAACAACCTCATTTTTATTCGACATATAACTGGCCGTAAATTATAAACTAAATAAATCAATTATTTCGATTAATAATTTCCTACATTCATATAATATTCCTAGACCGATTGTAAACACATGAAGTTCACAAACTTACGGTAACAATGTTGAAATCTGACTATTGACTTATCAATGGAATTATGACGCAACTGACTGACGTCATACCTGACTTGTGACGTCACAAAGGACTAGACATCTCAAGTTCCCGACGACCTCTTACCGGAGGACTCCAAAATCCACATCCTGAGAACATCCAACTCCAAAGGTGAGTCTTTTTTATGTTCAATTTAAGAAATAGATGCTACTGAAAATTATTTCTAGGATATTAATATAATACTCGTAAATATGAACGTTTAGGCTTACCCAGTATTTTAAGGAATCTTACTTCTGACTCTTACTAATATAATAAATGCGAAAGTTTGGATTTATGGATGTTTGTTAGAGTTTGTAGCTTAATTGCTGAACGGATCTCAATAAAATACATAGGACACATAGGCTACTTATTTTTGTTTTTTTGAATTCCACGCGAACGGAGTCGCGGGCGAAAGTTAGTCATTTTATATTTTGACTCTTAATTTTGACATAGTTTTGTTTTAATTTAAAAATTTTCAATAGCATCTTACTTAGTAGTTTAAAATTGCTACTTATTAGTGTAAATTAAAACAAGGGCTTTAAATTTAATTTTACACGCTGTATAAAAAATCTCACAAAAGTGTACTTGTTAATAAATGTAATTGTAGATAGCAAACACACGTGTTTTTTTAAACACAATATTTTAACCAAATGCATGTATTTTTAGTGTATATTACTAGTATTTTAAAAATCAATCTATACTGTATATAATTTTTATAGTTTTTTTGTCCTTAGATTTAGTTAATTATATTTGTTATAAATTTCAGCATTTAATACGAACGGCATTGTATTTGATAACTCACCATGGAGACCAGGCCGTGATTTACCAATAGAACATCGTGAAGTTCTAGAAGATGAAAGGAAATTAAAGAATGTAGCCACAAGAATAATGTCGAACGGAGTTGAAGTTTTAGTAAGAGACAAAAATACAGACAAACAAGATGCGGTAATGAATTTTCTTTTCTATATCAGAGCTAACATCCACATTCGTGATCGTGAATAGTTACTTTAGTAATTAATGCAGGACTTTTAGTGACTATTACTGGTCTCTGAATGCGGTATTTGTTGTGCTAATTTTATTAATTTATTATAAAATCTATATTTTATTCTCAGAGAAAATTTAAATTTATTCATCTCACATCTATGAAACCACCGAAATCTCATACGAGCACATTATCACCAAACAAATCATTGTTAAAATCAACTGTGTCGACTGTTACAAATCTACCAACGCCATCTATGTACCCAATACAACAACTAATGCAGCATAATTACATAATCAAGACATGTATGACAACTTACACATATCTAACAACGGTAGTACAAAACAAACGAAGTGCCATCTCAACATTCGAGACGATAGTCTCAGTGATCACAACAGAATCATTGACCAACATGTACGCAGATTTATTAGGAGAGTTGAAACCGACAAAAGTAAGATATTAGACGATTTGGGAAACCCCTGAGGTACCCCCGAATGCTAAACCCTCATTGACAAAACCTGGTCAAATTAAAAAGCATTGAAAGCCATCCATACACGACAATAATATTCATATCTTTGTAACATTGGTTAATATCTACTAATATATTAGATTTTACTAATAGTCCTGGTACAAGATTTTTATTTTACATGAAGAACATAACCAGTAGTAGTAAAATAACGCATGATTTAGTACCCCTATTTACTTATAATGTATAGTTTTAATAATTGCATTTTAAAATAAACTACATCTACTTTTTCTGTATACACAAAATGTATTTATGTTATAAATGAAGTCTTCCAAAATTTGATGATTATTATACAAATATTTCTATTGACAACAACATACAATTCTAAACAACATATAAAAAAGAACATACATACTGCCTATAAGACATGATGTATAAGACAAAATGTCTCAAAAGGATAGCTTAATTTTTTTTATTAAGTAACATATCGTTTATTCTATGTTTTATTGTTATTTATTCTATTGTTTTAATACTTTTCAGCTTAAATTCATGGAGATTAAAACTATCCAGCCATCAGCTCCAAGTTCTATGTTTGTTAGTGCTTATACGAAAATAGATAAAAGATTCGATAACCAACAAGATAATATACATAATTTTGATTTGATACAACCTTCTGAAGTCGGACAACCACTATGTTCTACTTCTTGCTCTTGTAGTGATACAAAAACAGAAAGCTTAAAAACAAGATACACCAGTTCGGTAGAAACCTACAATACGAAACAGAGTAATCATGATTTTGTCAAAATGGATGTTCGACCTACACAGAAGGAATCAGACAAAAAAACTCAATATAATAATTATGGCTCTGAACATGTTCATTCAGCACCGACTGATAAAATAGTAGAAAAATATACAGAAGTTATTAATGATTACTCTGATGAAAAAGATACCAATATTATAAAAGAAAGTGATTTACTCACAAATGAACAAGCTCCAACACCAGCGAATATAGATAAAATATCCAACACAGAACCAGAAAAGAATAAACCTGATAAATCACCAAAACCAAATAAAAACAACTTTATTGTAGCTGATCTTTTAAAACTAGGATCATTGAGTATAAAAGGGTTATCACAATTAGCACCAGTAATAGAAAAAATGACAGACACGTTTATGAAAAGACAGGATACCAATAAAACTGCAATTACCACAACAACAACCAACAAACCTGCAAAGAAAATAACACCTTATATAGCTAATAAAAGAGTTGACAGTGATATGGATTTTAAACATAACAACTTTCCAATTTACATACCCGTTGATGAAATGGAAACCTCGGAATCGCAAATCGCATTTTCAAATGCAACTTTACATCAAAACTTTGCTTGGGCTGCGGAATTCAAGCAACCAAAAGTTAATAAAGCACCACCAAAAATAATACATGAAAGTCCTTTAGTCAATGGAGGTATACCAATTAGTCCGGGTGAAATAATTACCGCGAATTCTGATGTTATTGTCGGAAAACCCGCTGTAGGAGGACCATTCACCTTAGGATCGAGTGGAATGAAATTGCAGAATCCTGTAAACCCGCCACCAATTGATAATTATATGTCAAACAATGAACCTTATTTGGTTGCTGCTAAATTACCTTTGGGCGAAAGTTCATTAATGCCATCAAAAGCTGATGATTCATTTGATTTGAGGCCTCCTGAACTACCAAAAGTAAGACCGAATAGAGAACAAAATAGATTACCTAATTCTAATATTAAAAATGTGTATGCAAATAATAAAAATACCCAGTCATCTGTATTCAACCAGCAAAAGATCTCAGATCAAAAGAAAGATTCAGCAATAGGAAGTCATGGTTTATCAACCTTTTTGGATTACATTCCATCCTACACAAAACCCACAAATAAATCACCTCTCCAGCATCATGTTGATTTTAGACCTATTAACAATGGTAATAAGAAAGAAGAAATACTTGATAATAATCCCAGCTCTTCAGAAATAATAAGTACAAGTGTTACAACCGATGGAGAATATGCTGTTTCTATTAGTTCAGATTCAGTAAACAAACCATTTTTAGTAGACATTCAGCCTTCAAGAGTAGCAAATGTTATTATACCTCATGGAAGTTCAACAGCTCTGGTTTTCGCCGGTTCATCAGAACCTCATAAAACTGGAGAATATATCGATGACCCTCTGCCGTATCCTGAACCAGGTTACTTTGGTAGTTTTAGTATAGATGCACCGCAAATGACTAATGTCCATAATGTTGTCCCTAATAATAACCAGTTTATGGTGAAACCTGGCAATCCATCTTCAGTGCCTTTGGAGCAATATACACCGACACAACAAGAGCATCAGTACAGAAGTGATTCAAAACTTAAATGGAAAGATAATAAGCGACCTATCGATTTTAATAAGTTGCCACCTCCCGTTAGTACTCAAGAAACACATCTTCATGTAGGACCCCAGGTTGTTTATAATCCTGATGCGTATAAGGCAAATAATCAAAAACTTAACCAAAATAGAGAAAATGATAAACCTAAAAGTGGAAAAGAGATAATCGACAAAGAGTACGAGAACTATCTAGCTGTACCACCGCCACCGCCGCCTAAAATGCATGTTAATCATGATAACAGATTTGAAAACAACAAACCCTACAATCAACGTCCCATTATACATACACAGCCAATTCAAGATATGAAAGTTTTTCTTAATGTTCAACATCCAGTACCTAAACAAACAAATAACGAGCGCATGCCTCCTAAAGTAACATCAGAAGTTTACTTTGCAGCTCAAGCACCGAACACTAAATCGACTTCTACCTATACTATTCAGCTACCACCGAATAAACAACCTACGTTTGGAAGACCACAAGGAAATCTCCCAAACAATTATGCACAAACAAGTAAAAACAATCATACATTCATCACACCAATGTCTGGCTTACAGCAAGGTACAGGATCTCCACCAAATTTGAAAGTTGAATCACAATTTCATGACAACAGGAAAGACTTAGTTAAATTTAACGCAGTCCCTAACGTAAGAGACAGGGATAAAACAATCCAAAAAGTAAGCTTTACATCTGGTCCAGTAACTACTCCTGCTTCATTACCTCAATTAAATACTGATATACCAATAGGAAGCAATATTGTAATAACAGTTGAAGATGATCCAACGAGGTTTGAAGGTTTACCTATACATAGCAATAAACAACCGAAAATTACTTACAATATCCACGGTAGCGTACCTGAAGTTTTATTGCAGAATAACCAATGGAATAAATCACAAGCCGAAAAAGAATTGACTTACAGCCGTCCAATAAATAATGGTGATATTGTCGAAGGACATTTCAAGAAAGATGTTTTTCCATCTATACCCCCATCTTTGAATAGTCACGCCAATTTCCCTATGATAAATGATCACATAATCACTAAACATGAGTTTAATACGAAAAATACTAACGTGGATAATGTAAAAGATAAAGTGAGACAGCCAATAAAGCCTCCGACAAATTCTCACGGTTGGTACTCGGGCTCGTATTTCAATGAGAACAATTTGAAAAACATAAATAATATACATGTCGAGGTAACAACCAGAAAAGTTATACCAATATCCAACGATTATAATAGGGACAACATACCAGAGTTTGGACACAAAATTGCTAGCATAGGTAAACCACCAGTTTGGCAAGACAATCAAGATTTTACAAGTTATTTAAGTATAGGTAAACCATTTTCTAAATCACCAGATTTCAAAAATTCAAGCACAAGTACCCCAACCTCTAAGGTACTACCTACTCACAGACCTAATTTACCTTCGAATATTGGACCACATCAACCAGCATACGATATACCAATAAGAGATAATAGTCACGAAACTACAACGATTAAAAATAGTAATAAATTACAAACAAATAAGATTAAGCCTGTTTATGAAAATTCAGAGGAAATATACGATGGAGAAGATGAATTTGAAAGTAATGAAAGTGAGGCAGATGGAGAAGTCAGTTTAGAATCCATGAAAGTTCCCGTTATAACATCGTCTAGCGAAGCTGATAATATTTCGCACAACTTTGGACCCGTACATCACAAAGGTCATGGATTTGTCCCACAAAAAAGTGTAGACACAAACACAAAAGAAGATTTTAATGCGGGCTCCCAAACAGAGAAGCCATTTGGTTCCTTTAATAGCAGTCAAGGATTTAAATCTAATGAAATTAAACAGATTGATTACGGTAAAAACCCGTCTATGAAGCCGAGACCATTTACCATGAATACTGTTATACCACTTGACCATCAGCTACAGCAACCACACTGGCAGATAAATCAATTAATGGAAAATTCTTCCAACGCATCAAATGAAGAAAACCTTGATTTGAATATAGGCGAGGAAATTGGTACATCACAAAAGCCGACTCTGGAAACAGATGTTAATAATTATAATAAGAATCGTGAAACAGAAAAAGACTCAAAGATAACAACAGAGTTAAACAAAACAAAGGTAAATGAGACCCCAAATATCATAACGTCAACAGTGCATATCAAAGATAGAAAACCTTTAATAGTAGAAGTAACAGAAAAAACAAGCTTGCCTACCTTTACAATTAAAAGTGAATTTAACAAATCGCAGACGGATGATATCATTAATTTATCACCACCTCCTCCTGCTTTTGATTTTAATTTCAAGGTATCAACAAAGGATGAAATTATAATGGGAATGAGTCCACCACCACCAAGAACTCCGTCTCTAGTAAGAGCTACACAACGACCGCCTCTTACTTCTCGACCAATATTGCCTCCACGCACACCTCCTCCGTATAGAACTTTACCGCCCAGAACGTTGCCACCTAGAACGGCGCAACCCAATAAACGACCTACCAATAAAGAAGAAATATCCACCTACAGGCCAACATTTGATGTTAACAAGCTTATTCGACCAAATATTAATCGCGATCAACCTTCATCACAATTACTGCCTCCTCCAATAGATTTACCATCCAAAACAGTTCAGGTTTCAGAAATCGAAATGCAACCACCGCCGGTTAGTGCATCTTCTTTAAATTCCAATTTTGTTTTCCCAACATCAGTTTCTTCGAGTTGGTTAACTTCATCTGGTGTAGATTTCTCATCGAAATTCAACTTTGCTCCAACATCAATACATTTCCCTCGTCCTACCAAACCTTCTATAACCGTAGAAATATCTGAAGTAAATTCATCCGAAAACCCAGACCACTCAGTTTCTTATGAAAGCGAACTTTCTATTGAAAATGGCGATAGCTCGGGTTCCGCTGACATCGTTTACCAAGATACAACTTCAAAGGAAACAGGTACCGATATGAGCTATGAGTCTTCTGCTTCTTCCGAGGTATTGGAGAGTCACGAAAATCATACTACTTCCTTTGGAACAAATAAAAAGCAAAAAGACAAAGTAAAGATTATTTCTCCGGTACACAGAAATAGAACACGTAAACCTTATCCTGTTCGTAATGAAGACAAAAAGATAAACACCAGCAAAATTAAACTGCCATCTAGACCGTCCATAAACATAACGCCGAGTAGGATTTTGAACAGGCCTGAAATTTTATATCCACCTAGAGTAACGCCAAACCGAAATGTCGTAAGACCAATGTCGCCAAGGCCCGTGGTAACTCTGGCGACACCAATACTAGAGAGCTCTGAGTCCTCAATTGCGGATGATTTTATCAGACCAACAGAAGTTTTAGAACAAACACAACTACCGTCTTTGCTTCAACCAGTTATAAACACGTTAATAGAAAACACTCAAACGCCTACTGCTTCGTTACCTATCCAAACAAAGATCTTGAGCAGTCCTATTCATCACGCAGGAAATGAAATTAAAATATCAGATGACATAATTCCAACTAAAACTGAATTTAAAACTACAGTCGTTACATTAACGAAGACCTTATCAGAGCCGCCAAAGACGGTCTCAAGCATTGGTTATGTCAACTTAACTCAAACTTTAACAGTGACTCATACGAAGACAAGTCTCGTGAGCCAATCAGAAGGAGCCGTAACCCAGACTTTAGTTGTAACAAACACGCAAACATCTACCATAGTAGATGTAGTAACTAAAATACACACAGAAGTACAACCTACAACTATCGTAGAGACGGTAACAAAACACATACCTATACTACAAGTCCAGCCAACCACTGTTAAAGAAGTTAAAGAAGTGACGAAAACTAAATTAGCACTGGACGATATTTCGATGTCGTCTGAGGAAAGTGACAACTTCATAATAAAAGACGCCGATACCACAGAAAATATTCAAAAGATCGATCACGAAGGAGAAAACGATAATGACACATTCTTTGTAGTAATGAATAAGTCACAGAATGGCGGTAAATCTCCACCAATGACAGAAATCGAGACTGGGGATTATGATATTACGAGAAATGAGCAAGTGAACAGTAATGGTGTATCGCAAGTATTATTCGGCGAAATATTACTAGCCGGAACACCATATTTGGAAACTTCTAACGTTCATCCTTCTGGTAAGAATCTTTTTTTATTGTACCATACCTTAATACCTGAAGTTTCATATTTGATACCGGACTTGCTTTAATATTTGGCTTAAAGAAAAACAAAAAAGATCATATCACGAAAATATATAAAAACATAGTTTTGTTTTTTTTTCCATATTTCCCCTTTAGTAAAAAACACAGTAAAGGGTACATTTATACATTCTGTAATGCGATTTTTAAAACTCAGGTTTTTAAGAGTTAAGTATGTACTCGTATTAGAGCGCGCGCACATCTGAAACTAAACTATCGCACAACTGTTTAGTCCCGCTTTGATTCCTATTAGCTTATATGGAGGTGCGCACTACTCGATTTTTAGTTGTGGTAATAAACAGTTGAATGGGCTGCGAAACAATCGACTATCGCAGAATAGTAATGCCATAGTCTAGTCCAAGCTCTGCGGCCGCTCTTAAAGTGTTTGTTTTTGACCGACTTCCCAAAAGAAGGAGGTACTCAAGTCGCCTGTATTTTTTTTGTGTGTTGTTATTACGTTTTCATTTTAGGATTCGGTAAAGAATGTCAACCAGATTGTAAAGCGTCTAGAAACGAGAGATGTCAAAGAATTGACGGTATGATGAAATGTATTTGCCGACCCGGTTTCGCTAGAATGTTCCCTGACAGACCTTGTAAACGTGAGTAATTTATAAAAATAAAGAAGGTATTTCTTTATTTTTTTGATTCTATGTTCTACCGTGTTACATTTTTGTTCTAGCTACGTATACATATTCCGTGAAACTAGCTCTAAAGACTCAAGGTAAAGATCGTCTTGTGTTCCATGAAAGTTTGTCAGATAATTCTAGTAAACAGTACCACAAGTTAGCGCTAGCAACTCACGAAGGTATCAACAGAATGATAATGCAGTCAGATCTAAGAGATGTCTATCACGGGGTACATATATCAGGATTTTATCCAGTGGATATTACGCCAGCTAAGGGAGAAAAATATCAAGGAGTCGTAAATGATTTCTATGTTCAGGTAATACATAAAATAGTTTTGTTTGTTCTACTTATGGATGGTGTATAATTTATTGTGAAATATTCCTAGCTCTCCGACAACGCTCATGAAAGCAGATTGAAAGAAGTAATTGAGAAATACTTGAGGAACAACAACTACAGTCTCGGAGGTACTGATGTGTTTGCGGCTGGTGAATTGATGGACAAATTGGATGTTAGCGGTAAGATTTACAAACACATAATTTTTAAATATGACTCAAGTGACTTATAAAGAAACCTTTCTTGGTTAGATTTTGTCAAAAAAACTCTTTATCTATACGTTTTTGTTTTGAAATAACTTGATTATAACAAGAAGTGAGCGAAGATCTGTGGAATTACATCCCGCTTGTTCCTATTGTGTATTACAAAATTACAAGTCAGTAAAATTAGTATGTTAATCAATGTTTTAGATTTCGACGAGTGTGTAAGCGCGCAGTTCCACGACTGTTCGGAGCACGCTCGCTGCTTCAACCTGCGCGGGACATACACTTGCAGCTGTCTGGAAGGTTATGGAGATCTCAGTGTCAACCCACTGTACCCCGGAAGGATATGCTCAGGTATGAATATTAAAGAAGATACACAGACTGACTGACTTAATACTACAGCTTGCAAAATAACATTGTCTAATGGCTAGCTCGAGTGATAGAATACCACACAGAAGACACACAAGCAGACATAAGAAGATAGTATTCCGTGTTTCGTCTCATTTGACTTATGTAGATTATTCCCGACCGTCATCCCGCTCTGTGCCCACATGGAGACAGATGAGAATAAAAAGTTTCATCCGTCCCACCTTTTGCGACGAGGGGACGGTTGGAACTTATTTGATTTCATAACGGTTCCATCAGTCACCTTATTCGTGATGGTGAGACTAAAAAGTAGGACGTATGAAACTTTTTATTCTCACGTGGGGACACGCAGGGTGACGGTTGGGAATAATCCACTTATGTATTGTAGTATAAGTTTAATCAAATGGCTAAAGTAACTATATTCTTTTAAGTCACCACTCGGAATGAACTTGACAAAAGTCGATAAAGATAAGGAACTTTCCAAATGTCTGCAAATATGTATCGGCAGACATTTGGGAAGTTGGCTTGTATGAAGTATTGAACTTGTTTAGTCAATGTGGCTACGGTTGAAGTCAATACAGAGTATCAGTAAGTTAGCTTGGAATCTATACAAGACATACATAATTTTAGTTGTTAACTAAACCGTATAATGCTTTTTTAACTGACTTCATATGTACATTTCCAGCGGAGCCTGTGGGATGCGAGCGCTGCAACTACCACGGCGCATGCTACTCGAGAGACGACCAGCGCGTGCTCTGCGAGTGCTTCCAGTGGCACGCCGGTGCTTCATGCCAGATTAACCTTAAAGGTTAGTTAGCTTATTTTAAGATAAATATCTCATTTATTTAACTACGATTTTTGTAACGCCTCCAACCGATTGCCAGCAAAAATACTTACTTGTTGCATACACCTTAGTGGTAGAGCCTGTTTTAACATCTTCGAACTGTAGGGCCGGCACGCCCGGTGTAATACTACGACCACACAGAAGACACGCGTAAAGTAGGAGCAATTCCGCGTACAGTGTAGTGCCGGAGCCCAAATTTTAGTCCCTTTCCCTTTCTCTTTTCATCCATTTCATAAGAGGAAAGGATGAGAAAGGAAGGTGGATGTGACGGTGGAAAAGACGCATAGGACGGGGAAATATCCTCTTTATGTGTCTCCCCCGTTAATTAAGGGTAGGCAACAGATCTACAATGGCGGATGTTTGGGCAGCGGTCGCTTCGCCGAATATTCATTTGGCCGATTGTTCGTTTGCCTTAATATAAAAATACAATTATCAACTTTACGGATTTAATTTTAATTCGATTCTTCTGCTCGCCAATTCTTGAAGACATGGTAATTTTCGTATTATTTCCAACCGTCACCCCGCCCTGTGTATGTAAAGTTTCATCCGTCCCATCTTTTAGTCCTACTATCACCAATAAGGTAAAAGATGAAACCGTTTTGAAATCAGTTCCATTCCCCTCTTCGCAAAAGGTGGGACGGATGAAACTTATTATCATTTGTTCCCACGTGGGGGGAGGTGAGGGTTGGGAATCCTAATTTTCTGGTGTTACTCCAGTGGTGTTGATATCTCTGGTGGTGTGCGGCGCGCTGCTGTCGGCGGTGCTGGCGCTGTGCGCGGCGCTGGCGTGCCGGCGCGGGCCCGCGCGCCCCGCGCACCCGCCGCACCCGCCGCGCTCCATCGTCGCTTGCATACAGGGCATGCCCAGCCTGCACCAGGTAATAAACTAGACTGGAATAACAAATAACCTTATTTGTTTAATGGCACCAAGCTGTGTCAACACAATTATGTCAAAATGTATAGTGTTGACAACTGTAGAACTAATGCTAGGTTGATGAAGTTTCCATTTATATTAACACTTGTTTTTGCCTTTAAAAAAAAACATAAACGTAAGTAGCCTATGTGTTCTTCCAGACTGTGTACTACATATAAAAATTTCATCGAATTCCGTTTAGCAGTTTAGGCTATACAAACTCAATAAGAAATCCATTTAACTGTTGCATTTTTAATATTATGATGATATAATTAACTAATGGTTCAGTAGTATTAGGTTTAATTAAATTTCAACATAGTAAAGCTTGAGTTAGATAGTTCGGAAACGCATTTAATGACGTCATAGAACCAAAAACACTAAGGAATGGTTAAAACTTGCTGGGAAACCGACCACTAGTAGTTACTTAGCTAAATTTATAAAGTTACGTATGTTGCGATGGATTTCGGAGGTAAGATGTTCAAGATCTGAGAGGAACTTGGTTTATATTTCAGGGTGCAGTTCCATCGAAGAAGCGAGCGGACAAGCGGGCGCTGATACCGGAGCGGACGGAGTCGGGCGACGCGTCTAGTGTACAGAACGCGTCCTTGCCATATTTACCATCTAAGGTAGGGTTTCTTTTACTTCAAACACTTAACTGTAATTCTGAGACTTTCGTACGGTAACTTACTTTTTTTTTTTTAATTAAAAAATACTATACTAATATAATAAAGCGGGAACACACACTTCTTTGTGGCGTAAGATGTCAGCAATAACAGCATATTTTTGAATAATTCTTTCTTTAATAAAAGCCAACACTTACTTCACACTTATATTATGCTATATATTTTCACGCTATTAAACTTAGAGGGTAAATAAATTGGATAAAAACCTTAATGTGGGAAAGGGACCATAAGCTACAAGTTGCCAAGATCAAGGAAGTAAGACTGCTATGGTTTGTCATCATGTAATTTAGACATCTGAAATATAATTTCACTAATGAGAACAATAAAATAAAATTTTCATTTTATCATGCGGATAAAGCCGCACGACTACAGCTAGTTATTAATCATACTAATATTATAAATGTGAAAGTTTAGATGGATGGATGTTTGTTCGAGTTTGTAGCCTTTACGGCTGAACGGATGGCAATGAGATTTGGCATGGATGTAGAGGGCAGTCTGGAACACATAGGCTACTTGGTTTTGTTTTTTTTAATACCACGCGGATGGAGTCGCGCGCGAAAGCTAGTCATTAAATAGTTACTACGCGAAGCCCTATTTGTTTTCTCTGGCTGAATGGGATATGACCTTTTTATTCATTTGTATTGCAGCGAGCCTCATCCAGCAAGAAGTTGGTGATGTCGGCCCCCCCCGCGCACGCGCCGCCGCCGCCCCCGCCCGCGCCCGCCGTCGTCATCCCCCGCGCGCGTCTGCACCCCCACCACTCCGACAGGTCAGTTGACGTAACTTTGACTAAACTATCTATTTTAAATGAAATGTTAACTATGCCTTCTCTATATATTTTGAATATCTGCTTACTAGACATAAAATCGGGATATTTATTACGCCCTGATACGGTTCTACGGGTTGAAACTTACGGGATTCTTACAATTTGTCGACAGCCGTGACAACCTCGCGAGGAAGAAAAGCTTGGAATTAAGTAGTGAAGCCAAACTCATCAGCTACCTGGAGTCAGGAGCTACCAACACTAATAATGAAGTAAGTTTGTATTAGTCAGTTGGCACGTCGACGCGAAGAGTACTCTTATTACCGACGTGCCAAATGTAATGTTGAAATTTCCTATTTTTTTAAATAAATTCTTTTATTTCCAGATGAGAAGAAAACACAGTTTAGAATCATCTTACAGTGCACAGAAAGATCGACTTAATACACAAGGTATTTATAATAATGTTTGAATTATTATAAAATTTGAAAAAAGCGCCATCTAATAATGAAGAACAAAACTACTACGTTTAAGCGCCATCTAGTTACAGCCAACCAAAACTTATTTACCTGTTTCCAGGGGCATTAATATCAGCCGGGTTCAAAGTATCAACAACAATTCGTCCTGATGAGACAATGGAACGTGACAGGAATGACAGGGATGACATGTCATCGGTCAACAAGACCGACATAGATGGAGAACTTTCTAGATTCAGCACGCTGAGGAAATCTTATAGGTATTGATTTAGTTCAGGTAATGTGGGCGAAGTTGATTTTAGCCAGGTTTGGGTATGTATGGATATTCATGAATTGGATATTATATGATGAAAATAGATAACCTGTGCATATTTTATTTGGACATGTTTTTAAATCAATTTATTTACCCTAATTTTAAGTTAATGCTGCTTACACTTATTTATTTTTTTAATATCTAGTCAAGAAGATTTATCAGAATGGACGGACGCTGAACGAAGAATTGGAGAATTGTAAGTATTCACAAATATGTATACTTTTTAAAAGTAATATTTTAAGATACTCCGTATTTAATTTAGTAATGATAGATGGCGCAAAAATAAAATAATTCACTTCAGCGCCATCTATCTTCGCATATAATAATGTACCTTAGGGCTAGCTACGGATTTTTTGATAATATTCCACTACTAGCTTTCTGTGACTCCGTCCGCGCGAATGAAGAAAAAAACAAAAGCACTAAGTCTATGTGTTCTTTCAGACTATCCTCTACATCTATACCAAATTACATCTAGATTCGTTCAGCAGTTTAGACTACAAATTCTAATATCCACCTAAACTTTCGCATTTATAATATTAGTAAGATTAGTAACGTTATAATTGCAGGACTCTGTCGGAGGCGCGGTCCGTGGGCGGCACGCTGCCCGCCAGCACGGGCAGAGCGGCCAGTTCCACCAGAATGACACACCAGGTAATAATAACATGACATTTATGTATATTTTGTTTTAATTTAAAAATTAGTTATTGATCCAAAACAGTTTTGTACAGTTAGTGGGATTCTGTCTCCTGAGCTAGTAATAACTGTGTTTTTTAGTTTTAATTTTTTAATGTATTAAAAAAAATGTATTTGCATGCCAAGTAGTAACTTGTGGTCTCTTTATACTGAGTCAATATGTTTTATTTAGCAAACTAAGATTGTTTGTGTATATATAGAGTAGGCATAGTTAATAATTCACTTGAAACATTTTTAACATGATTATCATTAACTCAATATATTGATAAATAGATGATAATTAAAAATATTTAAATTAATTACCAATAGGTGTCATTAAATAATGTTTTTAAGTTTTTGAAAACAGACAAAAGATGGCGCTTATCATAATTTTATCAAATGTTTCATTACAAGAACACGAGATGGCACTAAACTTGACAACTGATATACCTTACAGAGAAAGTACCGGTGAAAAAATTTGCTTTCTGCTTCTTCTATATATTTCTTTATTATCTTTGGTATAAATATTGCATGTCATTAAAATTCCTTTCTCTTTAGTAATAAAATTGAATAAAATGGAAATTTTATTTTACTTATTTTACCTACACTATGAATATGTGCACTTTAACGAAGTTTGTGTGTTCCTGACTGCAGGAGGCCAACACGATGGCGGAGCGCGACCTCGGCTCCACCTTCCTCCTCCCGCACGTGCACCTCTATAAACCTGACCTTGTGGGTATCGCACTCTTCACTACTCTCACATTCACCTCACTACACTTCTACTAATCATATCCATACATACAAACCAACTAATTTTATACTGTACTAGCTGTTCCCATGCGGCTTCATCCACATAAAATTATGAAAATTTTACTTTATTGTTTACATTTGTCAAATTATCAATAGCAAATGTCAAAATGACATGACATGACGAACCTTGACAATCTTGGTTTTCTGATGTTGGCAGCAACTTATGGTCTCTTTCCCACATTAGGGTTTTTATCCAAAATATTTACCCCCTAAGTATAATGGCATAAATATATAGCCTAAAGCGTGACGTAAATGTATGGCCTTTTATTAAAGATAGAATTATTAAAAAATATTCTGTAATTGCTGACATCTTAGGCAACAAAGAAGTGTGTGTTTACTTTATTATAATAGTATAGGTCATATTTTGTATTTGTAACATAAATGTTGTTCAATAGATCGTCCGCATGTAAAAAGAAAATAAAGGCATATTACTCACCGGCATATTTTTAATAAAGCAAGAATTTGTGAAATTCGTTCTTTACTTATTATTTTCAATACATACAAAAATACAAATCTTTCCTCTTTATAAACAAAATCTTTGGCTTTTTAAATTTTCAGACGAGCGACGTTTCGGAATTTGATTCCTTGTGAAGATAAGAAATATTCAAAATATTAACTATTCGTTATTTATGAAGACTTGGCAGATTGGATATTAGGTACAAAATGTACTTTCAATAACTACCACCTAAATTATTTATTTATGTTAAATTTGTTGTAATGTTTTTTGTTTCGTCATATAACAATAACAAAAATAATGTCTATAAATGCCATAATAATGTAAGAAAACCTAGTTTTTTAAGTACAAGTATGAAAATAATTTGAAAAAGAAATCGTTTGTAAATTTTATTAGTCCTTATACGATTTCTTTTTTTAAAAAGTTTTCATACATTCAACTGTTTCTTGTTAAAAAGAACATTATTTATTTATTTTAATATAGCTGTTACTCGCGACTTCGTTTCCGTGAAATTTAAAAAAACAATAAAATATAGCCTATGTTACTCGCAGATAAATTACTTTTCGAATAGTAAAAGAATTTTAGAAATCGGCTCAGTAGTTTTTGAGTTATTTCAATATATACAAAAATACAAATCTTTCCTCTATATAATAGTATAGATAGAGAAGAGGTATGGCCGAAATCAATACTTGGTAATTAAACGAAAATGGTTCGTAATTATAATCTAATACGAAACATTTTCGCTTATTCGAGACTTTTAAAGAAGCATTACATGACATAATGTATGGAATGCAATAGTAATAAAATAATATAAGCCTATTGTCAATTGTCAAAATAATAAGTGGTAGTGCCCGCTTTAGCAGTGCAGGGCCGGCACGCCCGGTGTAATACCACGACCACACAGAAGACAGGCGTCAAATGGAAGCAATTCCGTGTTTCGTCTGATGAGTGTGGTGCCGGAGGCCTAATTTAAGTCCCTTTCCTTTCCACCCTTTTCTTACGAGGAAAGGATGGGAAGAAAAAAGTGGATTTGACGGTAGAGGAGGCGCATATGACGGGGAAGTTCCTCCTTTATGTGCGTCTCCTCCTCCGTCGTTACGGGTAGGCAACGCATCTGCAATTGCAGATGTCTATGAGCAGCGGTCGCTTCGCCATTTTAGCGGATTCAGGTGGCCGCTTGCTCGTTTGCCACCTTGTAATATAAAAAAAAATAATAAAGAATGTTTCATGTCATTTTCAATATATTTTCATTTATCATTTTGACAATTGACTTGAAGATTTATTTCGGCCGTAACAAGATGAATACAGAAGAGAAGAGATGTATACAGAATGTAAGTACAACTGAATTTGAAGTTGTAAGTGATTGTATTGTGGAACAGAGGCTCAAATGCATTTATAACTTAGACTAGTCTTAGTAACTTATTTTTAGATACCACTTGTAATGGTTTTAAGTATTTGAGATAATTTAAAAAATTACGTATTTTTCAAAACTCATAATTAGATTTAATTTTTACATTTTAATAAAAAAAGTTCTCAATTTTTTGCAAAGTCGTTTTAAAATTTTTTTTTCTTTATCCCATTAAAGTTTAATGGTCACTTAAATAATCCTTTTTTCAGATTATTAAGGTTTTTCATATATCTTGATGTAATTAAAACTATTTGTGTACAAGTGCCAATAATTAGATTAATCTAAATGAGAACACGTCAATAAGAGTGGTAATAATTTATAAACTATTTTAGTCTGTGTACAAAAGTAATTTATTTTTAATTTATGATGTAAGCACTGTAAAGCTTTTAGTCCTATTTATTTGTGAATTACATTTTTATTAAAAGTATATTTCGTGTTTTATTATAATTCTATACATTTGTGTTATACATATTACGTCTTAAATAATTACTACACTAAAGAATAAAATCCATTATTGCGCGGTTTATACACTAAGCTACATGCAACAAGTTTCATATACGATTTTCGTTAATATTCTCTCATTCCTCTGTGTGTGTGTGAGAGAGAGAGAGAAACTAATAAGTGTTTCATCATCATATCTTCCTTCTTATTCTACTCCTGTAGTGGCGCAAAAGGTTTTTGTGCTCCAAATAACTATCATATGGATATGTGACTCTATCTCAGTCATCACTCCCTTTTTGATCATGCCTCCTTTCACGCAATCCATCTCTTTGTAGGTCTCCTTCTGTCAGTCTACCCTTCCACACTCATAACTAACGTTCTCCTTGTAACATGCGATTCATCCCTCCTCATAACATGCCCATACTATATAAATCTAACGAAACTAAGAGTTGTTTATTACCTCAATTTAACTTATTTAATTGTCAACTAAAGACAATTTATTTCATTTTCATTCATTCTTAGTTTACGATATTTTTAGTTTTTTTTTAAGTGTTAGTAAATACTTTATTCAGTCAAAGTAGAGGTTAAATAAAACAACAATTTAAATATGAGACATAGCGTTTTTATTCAATATTCAATAGTAATTTAGTTATTAATAGAATATTTAGCAATATTACAAATACAACGTGAAACAATTGAATAGAGCAACTTAACTAACTTGAAACTTAATACAGCGCGGAGCTTAACACCGAGAATTAAGCACATCTAACCGTTTGTTCACACTACTAACACATACGGAAACATCTGCGTCAGCTGCGTGTTTCTGAACATGTTTGTACAGTGAAAACTCAAGGTTTAAAACATATGTACTAGAAAATGTTACATTATACCGTAGTTAGAATCGTATCAGCACAATTATCTAACTCCCAACTTCAAGGTCATCCCCTTCAGTCTCAAACCTCACTATCTCCTTCTCCCTCTGAGAAATCTATCCTTGTTTGCGCCGCCATCCTGTTTTTAAAAAATTACGTAAGGAAGTGAGCATTTCGAAATCCTATTACTTACTTTTAAATCTACGACCAACTATGGATGGACAAAGCCTATTATAAAAGCTTATAAGCTACAATGGCGAATCCTTATTATGTAAAAAATGGAATTAAATTTAAAATAACCAAGAAATATGAAGTCAAATTTATAAGTAGTGTAAAAAAAAAAATTATAAATTTATATATGAAAATTAACATTTCCCGCCAAAAGTATTTAAGTACCAAAACCGTGTTCTATTAAACGCATAAAGTATATAATTAAAAATAAAAGAAAATTTTACTGCGGCGTCAGCAGTAAAGTAATCAGTAAAGCTTTAGTGTAGATTTAGTCCCCTTAGTAATTAACAACTGAAGTGGAGTTTATAAAATAGGAAGCAGTCTGTATCCCTAAGTAAAGTTGGCCGTAGCTTTTATCTATCCATTTGTATGTAAAATGTAATCTTATATGAAAAATTGTGCAAAACTCGAAAAAAAACATCCCTCTTATTCAGATTTCATACAAGTGAGACAGAGTTCCAAAAAAAACTTTTTTGATATACTGAAATAATCAATTAATAGCTATTAAAACGTTCCTTAGTGTAGATTTAACTTGATTTATCTTTATTAAGGACAGTTTAAATAACCATGAGTCGTCTCAGCAGAAATGCGATATCAAAATTCCAACCTTATAAAATATGCTACTGTTTTAACGTTTAGAAAAAAGCATTTTCGCTATAAAGCTAAGCTTCTAAAACTTCAATAGCACACTGGACTAGCGTCGTATAAAAATTGACGCATTACAAAATTACCAAAAAATACTATTTAATAGGCGATGACGTCACGGTAGGTAGTATAGAGTCACCGGCAAACCTTAACACGGATAGATTGGATACATCGATGAATTAGTAGAAAAAGTCTAGATTTTTTGTTTAATGTTACGGCAATTGCGATGTCCTAAAGTTCTAAGACGCGTTCAAAGTGTTATACGTCAAATATTTTCTTTAAGTTATTGTCCAAATGATTTTTGTTAAGTACATTTTTTAACATTAAAAATTGCGACAGTTATGGAACGTTGTTTGTTTTACAATTAAAGAGTTTGTCGAAATATTTTGTTGTCTAAATCTTTTTATTTTGCTAAATAAGCGTATCGTGATCGCTTAAGCTAAGTTTTTGTTTTTATTTGAAATTGTCGTAGCAAAATGTTTTATCTAACTAATTTATTTCTTAGCTATTTCTTCGAGGCTTGAGAGTGGAGACTTTGCAATCATTGTGAGAGATCTGAAAGGAAAATAATTGTATATTAAAATGAGATTTATAAACTATTCTGTGGAAATTATCTTTAGACGTTTACTTTTAAAGTAATCTTTGAAACAAAAAAAAAGGTTTTCAGGTTACTTTTAACTAAATATTATTTCTCTTTAGTTGAACTATTTTTAACAAATAAATTCAGTTCTTAATATTATAACGTTATAATTGGATTTCAGAATTTCTAAATATAATTTCCACTTCGCAAAATTAAAAAACTCCATGCTAGATAAATCAGCAATTTAAACAAAACCAATCGAAACTCATACAACATAATCATAAATAAAACATAAAAAAGCAATGTATATATGTTGCAAACGATATGAAAAAGCTTTTAACTATATAAAAGTGTACCTATTTGTCGGTGTTGTCTCGCGAGTGACTTAAACAATAGCAGCTGCAATAACAATCATTCTTTTAGTTTTATTTTAGCAAAAAATGAAAATTAAAAGATCTTTGAGCCTCATAACAAGCGATAAAGAAAAAAGATGAACAACGAAAATGTATCGTATTGGTAAAGAAATAAAAGCCGATTTCGAATAAAGAAGACTTAGTCCAGTCAAATTAATGATTTATCTAAGAATGAGCTGGCACTCGACTGAATTTTTGTACGTACAATCGAGGAAGCTGGTGTTCCAACATAAAAGATCGAATATTTGAAACGAGACGCGGAACAAAAACATAAATGTATCTACACGAAAAAAAGTAAAATACGGCCACTTTATTATTCCTTCATTTACGCTTACTGCTAATTAGTTATTTCTAGAAAATGTTGGGAGTTTGTTTCGTTGCGATAAGGCCTTCCTTAATGTAAAACACCGAGTAATTCTGCGATTGTACCTTTAAAATCTCGCGAACTTACAAATGTTACATAAATTTAATAAGGCTTTCGAAACAAGAGGGTCTATACAAAAATTCAGATTAATTGCCAGCTTCTTAGATATGACTGAACTAATTATAAAAGTTCAAAGTACCTTCTCTGAGCAGGTATAGGTGGGGAAGGGTGAGTGGTGGGCGGCAGAGAGGCGGGGCAGCTGCCTGACAGCTGCGATGGACCTTCATCTTCTTTCTTCTCTGCTGTAAAAGGAAATCAATACAATTTAGGCAAGAACAGATTTAGAAGCACATACTCCTTTCTAAGAGTCAGTAAATACAGAATTAAAACCAACATATAACTAGCTTTCGCCCGAGACTCCGTCCGCGCGGAATTAAAAAAAAACAAAAGTAAGTAGACTATATGTTCTTCCAGACTATCTTCTACGTCTATGCCAAATTTCATCGAGATCCGTTAATCAATTTAAGCTACAAACTCGAATAAACATCCATCCATCTAAACGTTTACATTTATTATATTAGTAAGGAGTAAGAAGTAAGATTAACAATCAAATGAAGAAATAAGAGATTTCTGAATTCAAATATCATAATTTACAAAAAAATCTTAGCCAATCATTAACAGCAAGACCCTCACCTTTCAATATTGGCGTATCTCCGATGTAAAATGTAGGTGCTGGTGCTTCGACTGTCGCTTCCCGCACCGAGCTGTCAGCACTTACTGCGCTCAGTGTGTCTGTACTGTCGAACATTATTGTACGCTCCTTCGCCTTTGGTATACGACCATCCGAATCCTACAAATAGAACGAGATTATCAAATTCAAAAACATAAATAGTAAGGCATAGAGTAATCTATACACAAATGTATTTAATTAGCAAAACTTTTCTAACGATATGACAAGCTCTAAGGGTAATGCATTTGAGCCTTTCTATCGTGTTGCAAGAACACCTTTGACTAAACTATCGGACTGTTGTGCGATTGTCGATTGTTTCGCAGCCAATTCAAATGTCAACACAACTAAACATCGAGTAGTGTGCGCTCCATGTAAGCTCATAGGATCAAAGTGAGACTAACTAGTTTAGTAATACAACATAATAAATACTAAATAGTAGAGTAGTAACTAGTTGTGCGATTAGTCACGGGTGTGTGCGATGTAACTGTCTAGTGACAGCGACTGCTCATATTTGAAAGTTTCGACTTAATTGGTACAAACACCACAAAAATAAATAAACCTTTAAAATCGAAATAAAAGCACATCACAGCACAAACATAGAAGAATAATTATAGATTGCTTTCGTCCGGGATTCCGTCCGCGTGCAATTAAAAAAAAGTAGCCTGGGTGTTCTTCCAGACCATCTACATATAGGCTACAAACTAGTAAGATTTACCTACCAATTTATCAGTATCCGTCTCCGGTTCCTGTACTTCATAATCATGTGAATGTTGTTCACTGGACTGGTACTCCAGACTTTCAACTTGCACGGCGGTGATGGGGTCCATAGTGTCAAGCGACGACACCATAGTGTTGGACCCTAGAGGGCGTACCGCTGTTATCTCTATGATTAGTATCAAGCTTGGTGGGATAGCAATATGTTAATATATTAAATACATGATTAAATAGAAGTTTATATCCAGAAGTTTAACATATCAAAGATTTGTAATTAGAACAGATAAAAATGACGTCACTGTCAAGGAACAAAATTCGATATTTACATCATATATTTCACACGTTGGATTGTTATTAAACAATATACAATAAGGTGGGATATGCCCTGATAGATTTTAAGAGAAATTAACTTAAAATTATGTTTCTGGGTAAAGTTCTGGATATACAATAGTTTACTATAATAAGCGAGGATGGCAGCATAATTTTGATTTCGAATAATAGACGAAATATGATTCAAGATATATTACGAAAAGTTTTGATTAGATTTAATTTATTTAGTTAGTGTTAGTAGTGACATTACATACACAGTTGTTAGTTTATTCTTTGTTAGTATACAAAATTGTTTAGTTTTAATTAGTTGCCAATTTTTTAATGAATTCGGAATGAGGTATGATATTAGAAGGGTTCTTACCTCCAGAAGTGAGGCTGCCAGTCATTGGTGTGTCGACTTCGTAGTTGAATGTAGCTCTTGTTGCGTTAGAACTAGTTGCTTCTAGACTGTCTGTGCTACCCAGCATTAGGTCAGCTCGGGCTCTGTCAAACAAAGGGTTGTTGTTACTCAGTACTTCTTGCGTTTACTTATACTTTTGTACTCAAATCAATGCTAACCTGCTGAAACTGCCAGAAGAACTCAACTCCTCATCTTGACAGCTCCAGGAACCGCTTGCAGGATCTGTAAAGTGTTTGCTAGAGAACGAGCTGTGAGCTACCGACCTCCCGGAGGAGGGCGACAGCTCACGTATGCCGCTGCCTTCGCGCATAAACTCTAAGTCCTCCGGCTTCTCCGAAGATGTTATGATAGTCTGATGTGACACAGTTACGATCTCCCCCCCAGAGTGCTTTTCCATTACGGTCATTAAACTATCCATTTCAGAAGGCTGAGAAGCCAAAGACGAGGACATCTCGGATCCTAGAGACATGCATCCGTCATCGTATTGTATAGATCTCGATGGAATATCAACAGCCCCCTCGTTATCAGTACTCGAAACGGTCTCCGATACTTTCTTTCCATCTACAAATCTTTGCTGTATGACTGTTGTCGTTCGAACAACCTCAATAACCCCGCCGCCTTCCGAGAACGTCCTCGATATAGCTTGAAGTTGCTTTTGTTGACGTTTTGCTTTCTCCTCTTGGTCCAAGATTTTCATCATCTCCTCGCAATCTCCGGGTATAGATTCCGCCGACCCATCACTCGGAGCGGCGGCACACACGAAAGCTGACGATTTCGTACATTCCTCTACTGCTTCGTCTGTTTTATCCTTTGAAGTCTCTGGGTCAGGTTCTGGCACGAAAAATGCGCCGCGGTCGTCATGTTTCTTTACAGTTATAATTTTAGGTACGACTTGTTCTTGCATTCTTTGTTCTAAGGCTAGTTGTTGGTCAATCAGTTTTCTTATAGCGGCTGAATCAGCTAAGAGACGTTGCGATGGACTACCATAGCTACCAACTTTTTGAGACGGGCTTCCTCCTTTCTGAGAGGGGCTTCCAGACTTTTGTCCTGGGCTTCCTAATTTCAGAGGTGGACTACTGTCTGAACTACTGCTGTAAGAACGCTTCTCTTGCTCTAAAAAGCTGCCAGTTGCTACCTTCGGATCAGCTTGTAACAAAGCTTCTTTCTGCTTAGCTAGAATTTCAGCTTTTAAAGCTTCTAAGCATGCAGACTCCAAACCTTCGAATTCTTTAAGACTTGAAACTGATATATCATCACCCTGACTCCTACTGAGAATATATCGTCGCGGTAACGATCCGTTTAAGGAGTCTTGAGATGAGGATGAATGTTGCTGATACTGCTCCATTAATGCTCTTTCAAGATTCTCAAATTCTTGCAGAGAACTGATAGATATATCATCGTTTTCTCCACGCACTCTGAATCGTATACGGGAAGCCATTTCGGATTCAGATAAACTTCCGTAAGAATTTCTGAAACTACCGTAACTACCAATAGATTCTTTTTGAGAGCTCAAACTTCCAATTCTACTTGCATCAAAATCGGTCATTTCTTCTTCTTTAATATCTTCCAGTGGTATTCTTTCATAATCATACCTTGGGTCTCCTTCAAACTGCATTTGTATCCAACGTTTACCTGCTTCGATTTCAGCTAATTCTTGAGCTTGCAACTTCTTTTGTTCTATTTCGAATTGGAGTAATTCCTCGTCAGATAACGAACCAGAGGCACTGCTGCTGTCTTGTTTCTTTGCGGTTTTTGATAAGTATTCCTCGACTTCTTCGTCATGTCTTTTTACATATTTTTGAGTGACAATTTTAACACTTTTTCCCTCCGGATCTGTTTCTTGAGCTTCCTTCGCTACTTCTTCTATTACCACAAAATCATCCATTTCACATGGTTTATCGAGCATTTCAAATTCATCACTGGTTGGCGATTCTTGTTCCTTTTCGTAAGATCGTAAGGTTTTATCTTCCGTTGTAACTACTAGTTCTGATCTGCTGCTTTCGGTTGCGAAATCTGATTTTAATTCCGGTGCCTCAGATATGTCGTACATATCATCCAAGACATACTCTCGACCGTTTTCTGTGGAGAGCGAACTTTGACTAGGCGCAGATAATGGTGTATGCGGAGTCGAAATGTGCTCATGAGTTTTTAAACTGGACGTAGAGCTTTGTTTACTTTCCAACTGACTTTCCGTTTGCAATACTGTGGATTTTTCTGCTTTTGTTTTAGGTACTGAAGAATCACTTTTCGATTTTGATATTTCATCGTATTGCTTTGTTCCGACAGGTATTATTTCTTCATCTACATCAACAAGTTCCCTTTGACTTGGTGGTTTTTCCGTGATAGGAAAAGGAACCACACTCACATCTTGCACGGTCTTTTTTACGCACTCCTCTGTGACTTCACCTTTCTCAGCTTTTTCTTTTGGTACACTCTGTTCAGTTTGAACAACTTTTTGTCGAATAAGTTCATTGTCATCGTGTATTGTTTGAGTTTTTATACTCCCGAATTTCTCAATTTCTTGGAATTCCGTAGATCCTACGGGTATTATTTGACTATCGATATCTACTAACTCTCTTTGAGGTTTATCTATCTTTGTTACAGCAAAAGGTATTGCTTCTTCTTTGGTAGTTGATTCTTTTACAATGATTGGTTCTTCCAAGTCGTCTTCTTTGTTTATTTCTGTTTGTGATAACGACGATGATATATCTATTTTTGAAATAGACGACGATAAAACTTCATCAGTCTTAAGTTGACTAGAAATAGTTGTATCTGACCCATCCTTATCCTTTGTTGAATCATCTTCAAGCTCAACGCTTTCGGATGTTCCGTCTAAAGGAAAGTGTTCTGGAATCATTTCTTTTGGTGTAAACCGCATTTCATGCGACCTTTTCATTTTACCTAAGGTTTCGATGTCATCAGGTTTATGGTCCTCGTCATCACCTGATCCTTCCTCGTCGCTCAATTCCTTTGATTTAGTTACTTGTTCTTTTTCTGTTTCATGAAGGAATTGTTCTACATAAGTACTACTCTCCATCAATTCTTCTTTAAGCTCATTAGCTGAAGGAACTAATGTTTCAGATGCATCTGAAATATCAATACTCGCTACGTGACTAGACCCATCAGAGTCTAAACTTTTCATGCTGTCTCTTGAAGCAAGCGAACTTCCTGCTGTAAAGTAATCTTTGGATGTTCTGAGTGATTGGGAAGAGACGTCATGGCTTGTAAGTGCGGTTTCGAATTCAGTTCCACTCTGGGCTGTTAACATGACCTCGATATCTGAAGATAACGGTCTACTCTCCGAGTGTTCAAAACTTTGATAGTGACTATCGCCAGAACTAGACCATCCTTCAACTTCAGATGCCGAGCGTCTTTCAACTACACCCAGTTTGCTTGTTATATGTTTGTGAACTCGCAATTTTACTTCTGGACTGCCTTTCGAAGAGCCATCACGGTCAGAAAATCCAATTTCACTTTCAGTTTCTAAAATTGAATGCGGTCCGCTATCCGATTTTACTGACAAGTCTCCAGAATCGAGTGGTGGGCTTAATTCTTTTATTTGAACGGTGTCTTTTTCTTCTTCAGATGTTATAGTTTCGTCTAGTGAGCTTATCTTTTGTGAGACGCTATCGGATTTTTGACTGTCTAATAATTTTTCGTCCTTTTCAAGAGCAGTTATAACTTTACTTGAATCGTCGGTATGGTGAGGCTCTTCTGTTATAACATCCGGCCTTTCGGGACTTATTAGTAATTTAAATTGAAATTCGGAGGGAGACTGCTTATATTTACTACTCCCGTCACTTTTTTCACTTATGATTTCTACTTGCGCTGCTTCAAGAGACTGCTTGACTTCATCTATAGTTTTTTCCAAAACTGACAAGTCAGCGAGCGGTTGAGCAGACATCAACGTGTCAAAATCAACCTTTTCTGTTTCAAGTTTCAGTCCATGAAACTCGGCAGAAGAGAGATCAGTGTCATATCCACTGCTGCAAATGTCTTCGAGACTTTTCTCTTTAATTAATTTTATTTCCTCCTTTTTGTGATCTGTTCCAGTCAAATACGCGGAATCACCTTCGGTTGAAAATTCTGATGGTTGCAATGTTTCTGCACTTACAGTAGAATCCATAGATTTTTGCAGAATTTCACCGTCATGTGACTCAAGTGACTTAATCATATATTCAGTATCCACGCTTTCACTCGACTTTATCATTAAATCTTTAGTTGTAGTAGTCGATTCTTCCCATTCTGTTCGTTCTGTTTCGATAACATTCGGCATCAAATCCATTTTCACAGATTTAACAGATTGTTCACTCTCTGCAACTTCAATAGATTTGATTTCGATCTTGACGTCACTTTTAGGGCTTTCAATTGAAGTCGATTCGCCTATATCTTGTTTAGCGCTTGTTGGTTCAATATCTCCCATCACGAAAGAGTCGGCTTTATGTAGCGATACTTCTAATACTTGATCTTGTATTTGATATTGCTGTAGCTTTATGGGGGATTTACTCGGTTTATCCTTTTTGGGAGTTTCTCCTGTTTTATCATCATGTGGTAAATCAGGTACTACTTCTGATTCCGAATGAGTATCTTGACTCCCAGTTCGACTAAATGAACTTTTAATAGGCGAAGTTGAAACCTTAATTTCTTTTATAAAGTCGACTTCATACACTTCGTTATCTTTTTTGAAAGACTTAGATTTACTTCTTGGGCTCATTTCAGATGAATCCCTCTTATCGGCTGAGTCAGTTTTAAAACTTGGTGCATGAGAGGCATCAGAACTGAGGTCGTCGTGTTCTTTACTTTCGATTACAGATTCTTCTCTGTGGTGTTCGACTTTTGAACTTACCACTTTTCCTTTTTCACTGATCTCTGTGGTTGAAACAACTTCATCTTTCTCAACAATTTTTAGAGAAGAGTCAACATAAGCCACTTTTGATTTATCATCAGCTTCCTGAATATCTTCTAATTCTCCAGGTTCAGTAAAATATTCTTTACCCCACTGTTCATGTGACATTTCTCTTTCAGAAATTTTAACTTCCTGTTTTTTCTTAACAGTCTCATCCTTAAGAGCAGTCATTTTCTCTTCAGATTTCGTCTGTCGACCAGCATACAGCCCTTGTTCCGTAAATTCTCTCTCTACTTTTATAACATCGGTATCATCTGTACTTTTAAAAACAGTTTTAGTCTCTACGTCAGATCTTTTAGCAGAAGCTTCGTGTGCCTTCTCTAATTTCTTTTCTGTAGTTTCAGTTTGATCTCCTTCTTTTCTGACAATAGATTTTTCTTTTACTTCATGTTCTTGTCCTCTTAATTCATGAGTAGTTTCGGTTTTTATTACTACTGAATCATCATCGGAAGAGGAGACGTGCTTAGTTTCGGTATAAAATTCTTGTCCAGATATTTTTCTTGTTTCAGTTTCTTTCTGTGTTAAGATGGTGCTAAACTCTTCCTGAGTTGCTCCAAGCTTTGTAATCATATCAGACATGACAGCCTCAGGATCAATATTTTGGAACGTTAATTCCGTACCTTCGACTGTTTTATGAATTGAAGAAGATGAGGTAGAGGTTTCTATTACAGAGGTAGTATAAAAGTTTTCGGTTGGAATTATTTTATGCATTTCTTCCATTTTAGCGGCAAGTTGTTCTTTTTTAATTTGATCTATTACATCCATACTCTTCTCTATAGTACGGTCAACTAATTCAACTGCACCGCTTGTTATAGTCGGTTGATCGACGTTCACGAATGATAAATTATCAGCAAGATGTTTGATCGGAGACTTAGGTCTAGCGGCTTCACTTAGTACCTTCGACGCTTCAGTTAATATTTCTGCAAACAGAAAAGAATGCACTTTGTAAAGGGTTTTTAAGAATTCCTTTTTCTCCACATATCTCTTTAAGCTAAAAAATTGTAAGATATTTATAATCATGTAAGCAAAAACTTTGAAGAACGTTATATAATTTTACAAATATAGATATTTACATATAATATGGCAAGATTTCTTTCACCAACATTGAAGTAATATGGTAAATGCAAGCGATATATACAGGTTATGCGAATATAATGGAGAAGGCATATAGACGTGTGCTTAAGCTAATGTGAAATTTATGGTAAACTGAATGAAGAAAAACGTTGAGATCAAAGCGAAACGTTACTCAAAAGTGAATCATAAAAAAACGTAACAAAAACGGCGTAGTGATATTATGACGGTAGTTACAAATTTGAAAGCGACAACGAATGATGATGTGTTTCTGCTGTAGGTTCACTTACCTAAAGCAACGTAAGGGCTCCGCAAGAAAGAAAAATTTACTGTGCTGATAAATTCTGGCAAAATTTTGTGATATTCGCAAATTAAGAATGTTTAATAGTTCGATGCTTTTATGTCGAATAGCTTTACTGGGCCTTACAATTTTTTTTTTTCATCTTATTTTTTTTATTTTACGTGTAAATGAAGACATGCTTTTAGCATAAAACAATATTGTGGCAAATAAGGCTTTTTACGTAAGACTATGAGTAAAGTTTCGCTATGACTCTACTTGCCACTACATTACTGAATCAAGCTTTATCTTATGAGCGTTATGTTTGTAGGCAAAATTTTGAATATCTTTTTAGTATATAAAAATAATAAATATAAGTAAACACTCATTACTTTTTAAATATATTAGCAAATATTTCATCACAAATACGGTTAGAATAATTTGATAATCTAAGGGGATAGTTACTGACCACTTTGATGAGCTTCGGTTTCACTTAATAAACTATCTCCGGCAGAGGAAGCTCGTGGTGATTGTCTGTTTGCGTCCAAGAACGTAGCGTCGGAACCTGGATATTGCATTTTATATTACCATTCGATAAAATCTTTTTGAATACTCCGAACCATCAAAATTGCTTTGCAAGAAGTTTCGTTCAGAAGTAACACTTCAGAGGAATTCAGTACATCATTTTGAAAAGAAAAGGGATGTCAATGTCGAGAGCACTATAGCGTGTTATGGTTCTATTAGTGATTTACTAAATACATTAGCGTGCTCTTGCATGGTCATTCTTTAACAATTTCGCATTAGTATGGGATAAAATTAGTATCGTGATGTGGTAGGTACCTTTTAGATGCATTCCGGATTGCTTATCGCCAGCACTGTCTTCTGATCTAGCTCTGTCTTTTAAAATTAAATCAACCGGTGACGGCGGTGGAGTTTTAGAAAACTTTGATGCCAAATCTGTAAATTATACTCCATAAGTTATATAAACATATGAAAAAGCCTATAAAATATCTAGATAATCCTTTGTTTATTGTTAGAAAAGAGGATAAAATTTAAAGACATGAAGTTTCGTGAACACTTACAACATTTTTTATATGTCTTATAGTGTTGTAAATGGTAACTTTAAAGAATAAATTAATAAAACTATTTAAATAAATGACTTACCATGTGTAATGTGACTAGAATCTATTCTTATCAAAGCGCCTGATGATATGTCTTCCAGAAGATTTGAACATCTTCTGTTCAGCTCTTTCATATCGGATGTATTTACCTTGCTTACATCGTCATCAGTTGTCCCTGACTCATCTTTCTCACTGATTTTTTGACTTTCTTTCTCCTCAATTTGTTGCTGATCATCTTTCTCTTGTTTATCTATTGTCCTTGTTTTACCAAAAGAGTCTTGTTCGCTTAATAATTTACTTTCAGTCATAAAAGACGTTTCTTGAGAAGAACTTGTTGAAATCTTTATAATCTTAGACACCGATCTCTCTTCTTCTATGAATTCTTTACTCATTGTAATCCCTTCGGAAATGTCCGAGGCTAATGTTTTAGACACATCGAATGACGAATGGTCTTCCGAAAATGTTTTTTCATCAATCGATTTAGATGATTCTTTAACGCTGTCTATTGATGCTTTTGAGTAATCCTTTGACAGATCAGCAGTAGAATCTTTGGAAAGTTCATTTGTAGCGAAGTCTCTTGAAGTATCTTTACTATCCATTGAAGACTTGGAATAATCTTTTGTTAAGTCAATAGACTTTTTAGATAAATCAGGGGTTAGTACCCTTTCGTCTACTTGTTCTTCAAGCTTATAGTCTTCTTTAGCATCTAAAGACGTTTTAGACGAATCTTTGACTAAGTCTGCTCCGCTCATTTTTGAGAAATCAGCCGAAGTACCATCTTCAATAACTGATTTTTGATCTTCATCTGATGATTTGGTCAAAGTTGAAATAACCGTGGTCACAGATGACTCGGTTGTCGATTTAGATACGAATTCCGACCGTAATAGACTGTCAACAAAGTGAGTTTTCTTAACTAATTTTTCTGATGATTTTTCCCTTTCTGTTTCCTGTGTAAAAGTTGTTGACGCGCCAGGTTCGTGAAGTTCCATTTTGTCTTCCGGCTTAACTAAATCCCTTGATTCAGGAATGTGTTCATAACATTTATCTTCGTCTGTAAAATAATCCGACTGAAACAAAAAACATGAGTAAGTGAAAGAATAATGTAGTAATTAGACAGCTAACTCAAATCAAATGGTAAAAATATTTACCTCTTTTTCCGGGAAGTCATCTGCATCGTCAAGTGAATCAGTTCTTAATTTCTTCGTGTCGAAACTAGATGCAGGAATTTTTCCGTCTGTTTCAGTGGTAGGTTCTATTATCTCCAGTACTTTTGCCTTATCCATATCTAAAAACAACAAAATACGTACACATGAGGTCATTGTAAATTGCGTCAATTTCGTATGTATGAAGTATTATCAAACCGTTTACCTGATTCAGAATCCGTGTAAATTTGCTCCTCGACTTCCTCTGGGGAACTCTGCACTGAAAACGTTCTTGTTTGTTTCTTTTTTGGTATGATTGCGATTTCTCCACTGTCCCTCGACAAAGATTTCATTAAACTTGGACGTTCTTTAATTTTAGCGTCCATTTTTAGGACTTGGACATCTTCAGTTGTCACCTCTTCTTCTTTTTCTTCCGAAGATTTTAGATATCCTTCGACAGTAGTTACCGCTTCTTCAATAATAGAGTCTACAGAGACTTTTCCACTTATATCCTCTAATTCAGGTTTCTCTGTATCTACCTTCACAATGTCAGTTTCTTCAACTGAAATATCAATATCTTCAGAAGCTTGTTTAATTATAATCTCTATATTGTCTGCCATTTGTTTCATTGCTGAATCAGATTTCTTCATGCCTGTTTTATCAGAGTCTTCCTTATCTAAACTAGTCGTTTTATCCTTTGATTTAATTGGTTTGGGTGATTCTTCTTCCATTTCAATCTCTGACTCTGCGATTCTTTCCAGTGAAATTGCAGGGCTTATACAAGAATGTCGTCTTTCTTCTTTTTGTGGTACTTTAGCGTCGTAGGATCGCTTTTCACTCTCAACAATTTCTTTAGTTATTGTTTTAATATCTTTTTCTATGGTTGGGCTTCTAGAGGCAGATATTATGCTACTTTTCTGCGATAAATCGTCTATTATAGATTTTTCTTGTTCTTTGGAAGTATCAGTTTTATCCTCTAAACTTGATTCTTCTGTAGACAACTCTTTATCGTACTTGACATCTTTGCTTTCAGTTAATATTTCAAACTTTCCAAGCGTGTCGGTCCTTATTTTGCTCACATCAAATTTGCTGTCGCTAAGAGCTGTTTTTGTTTCTGATTCTATTTTACTTGATGTTGTTATTTTAGATTCTGTTGTAACATCTACTGTTTGTGATGTTATAGGTTCAGACTCTAAAACTGATTGGTGATCTTCGGATTTAATTATTTTTTCATGTGGTTCTAACGTTTTCGTTATCGTTGTAATCGTTACGACTGTTTCGCGTTTTAATTGTGCTTCTCGCTCATTATTGAGAAAATCTTGCACTAAATGTCTGTCGGATGGTAATCTGAATTTAAAATAATACCATTAAATGTAATTCTTGTGACATAAATACATAAAATACATAACAAATTATCAGAAAAATACTAAAATATATTATTGCCCTTACCCTGATTCTGATATATGTGGTAACTTATGTACATATTCAGCATGATCTTCAGGGAAACCTTCAACGTCATCTAATGAGTCACCATGTGTCAACTTTGCTGGTTTTGTAGGCTCGCTTATTTTAACTGAAGTGAAAAAAGATTTAATATCTTTGATGGTGCTTCTAATCAAATATTTAAAGCGCGCAAATATCTTTGACTAAATTATCACACAATGTCTAGTCTCTCTTTCATTCCTATATAGAGAGATATAATAAGAGATATATGGAGAGATAGATGAGAGAGAGAGATAGAGATAATATGGAGGTAGGTAAACTACTCGAGTAGTTATTGTGCGATAGTTTAGTCAAAGATGTGGGCCCGCTCTTTCGTGCCATATGTACATACCAGGAGATTCGATTTTTACATCGTATTCCTTATGATCAGATTTTTCTTTAGGTATGTCAACATGCGTTCCTTGTGTAGCAATATCATCCTCAGATTCTTCGAATGTGTAATCTCTTGATTCTGTAAGACTTTGGGCATCAGAAAGTCTCTTTTCTTCTAACCGTAATTCACCGATAGAACCAGATCCCGCTGATGTAACAGATTGTCGCTTAGCTTCTACTGCAACTAAAAGTAAACGTATGTTTTAATTTTTTGGTTCTGTTAGTAATCAAAATATCTTAATTAGTACTTCAAAATACTTTTCTCCTTTTTTCAAATATGCTTGTAGTAACGTCGATACCGTATCATGATTTTTTTATACATTGGGTTTTACAATGCCCCCTTAAAGTATAAAAATAAGTAAAGAATAATTTCTTAAAAGAATTAAAGATAATGCTTTACACATTACATTTAATTTGCTACAGCAATAGAGTATCTTCTTTTGTCGTTGGTTTAAACTTTATTAAACATATTTAAACCTTACCTTTATCTACGATTTCTTCTTTTTGAACACGTGTTCTGAGTTCAGCGGTTTCCGTCGTCACTGACTCCTTGTATTCTTTTTCGGATTCCTGCTCTAACAGCCGTTGACCTTCCTTAGCGGCTTCTTCCTCAGACGAAGTCTTTTTATCAGTGACAGCGTCTTCTGAAGATATTCTGTCTGATACACCCTCTGATGATTTTCGGTCAGATATTTCTACTTCTCTGCTACTTTCAGATGAAACTTTATCAGATGCTTCATCTTTTTCAAATGATTTTTCTATTTCTTCTGCCTCAGTAACAATCATTTGAAATTCTTGTTTAGGCTTAGGTAATTCAATGTCCAGTTGCAAATCACTTAACTTTGATATAGAAATAGATTCTGTTCTAGAATGACGTTTAGGAACCTTTTTGAAAACTACCTCAGTTTCTTCAACTTTGTCAGAATCGGAATCTTTGCTATCTCTGTGCAAAGCTTTTGGATCTATTTTAATAGCTGTAAATCCAATACTTTCTTCAAACTTTTCATCTCCGAATCCACTACCAGAGTCTGCAGTTTCCTCGTATTCCGCCCGTTCATCAAAATCAGATGAAGAAATTTTGGCCCTAAAATCTGATTGGTCTGATTTCAGAGATTCTGCTTCTGAATGACGTCGTGAATCAGTATGCTCAGAATCCTCTAAGGAGTCTGAATAAATACGTTTCGAGAAGAAACATTCTTGCACGGAATCATCTTCTGGAACAGTTTCTATGAACTGTCGCGCTTTTGAACTTATAACAGGCGATTCCTTGGATGGTGATATCTGAAATGTAGTTAAAATTGTTTAAAAAAATTGTATAATCAGTTTATAACGTATGATCGTGTAAAAAATTATAGGTACCTTTTCAGTGTCTTTAAGTATTGATTCCGTCTCAGTTTTTACAACTTGAAGAACTTCTTCTTTAATACTCTCACCTATTTTAGCTTCACTGATTGTCGATATCTTTTCTTCCATTTTTGAGGAAATCAACATTTCTTTATCATGAACTGGTCGGTGTGCAGGGCTTATCCCTACTTGGTCTTCTAAATCAGAAAATTGTGACGCTTCGTCCAAAGAATCGCTTCTATGTTTCGAATATGCCTAAAAATAAAAGATCAATAAAGACAATTAAGTATGCCCTTTTAGTGAATTCCCTTTTATGTGCAGATTAAAATTTTAACTGACCTTAGATTCCGTATGCGATACAAAACTGATGTCTTTTTCAGTACTTTGTTGCAGATCTGCTAAAGAATCTACTTTATCTATAGTTGATTGTGCAGGAGAATCTTGAGAAATCTTGCGTGCAACAGAGTCATGTAAGTCTGAACCAGTTGAATCTGTCTTAGTATACTTAGTTAAATCAGATTTCGTGCTTGCTGTAGACTGTTGAGTATCCGTCTAAAGAGGCAAAAAACAAACAAATGCTGTAAAGCAACCAAAAAATCTTGTGTGAACACAATGAAAGCAATATTTACCTTTTCTGTTTGCCTAATAGAGACATCTTTTTGTTCTATGTCTTCTGTGATATCTTCTTCACTAACTTTACTCCGTAATTCTTGAGTTAATTGTTTTTCCAGCTTTATCTCTGAAATCGCTACCCTGTCACTATCTTTTTTATCTTGATCGTCATCATCTTTTTTATGTTGATCATCTTTATCTTGACCCTTTTCAGGTTTTGGTTCAGTTTTATCCCTCAGGTCAAGTTTTCCGTCATAAAAAAGTTTTTCAGCACTAACTTTTGATTTCAGTTTATCTTTTTCTACTTTAACTGTTGTTTGTGATTCAGTCTCAGTTTCTGAGTCAGTTGACTTCTTTAGGAATTCGCTGTCTTCCTCAGATGAAACCTGTACCAATGTTGAATCAGTTCTCATAGTTTTAGGGAATGGTTTAATTTTGTCTTCTTGTTTTGTTTTTGTGTCAAACTGTTGTATTGTTTCTTTTACCGACTTGACTGTCTCTACATGCCTTTCCGATTCAACTATTACTTTTTGTATAACATGTTCTCGAGTGTCAGCGCTCAATATCTGCTTTGATTGTTCTCTAACGAATTCCTGAGTATATTCTATACTTTGATCTTGCTCAAGGGTATGTTTTTTCAACGCCTCCTTCGTAAGTTTAATAGTTTTTGTAGCGTCAATAGATGGTTCTTTAGAAATTTTAGATTCAAATGAACTGATTTTATCTCTCAATGTTGCTTCCGCTACGTCTTTTTCGGTATCAATAACAAGTTCTGGCGATTTATCACCATCGTCTAATTTTTCTTCGACTCTCGCACTGTCTATCTCCTTTTGAGAAATTACTTCTTTTGGAAATGAGTCGGTTTTAGTGTCGATTACTTGTTTCGTTTCTACTGTCTCAACAGTAATAGATTTTCTCGGGGTGATAGTAACATTAGAAAAGTCTCCAGACGGGAATCTCATGGATTCATTTCTCATATGTCTTTGCAAATGTTTAGGCGTTGGCTTTGCTGGTGACGATGGGTCGAATTTTCTAAACTGTTCTACATGACGCTCAACTTTTATTTCTTCAACTTTGTGTTCAACGTGTTCTACAGGCTCTTCGATTTCTCTTTGTTCTTCTACAGTGTCAGGTGATGTTTTCGGACACTTTCGTTCCGTTTTTGGTTCTTTATCTTTTACCTGCGAAAAATTAATTTTGTTAAATAGAATCAACCAACTAAGATGAATTTGGAATTAAACACTTAAAATATCATCAGACCTGCTGTTCAATGTCGTGGAATTTTTTGATGTCTGGTTTTATTTGAGTTTTAATCTCGATAATTTCTTCGCGAATTTCTTTCTTTTGTTTTGAAGCTGGTATTTTGCTTGAACTGAGCTTTTTAGTAATTTGTTCCTTCCTTTCGGCTACACTACGTTTTACATCTGTAATTTGAAAGTAAAGTTTAATTCACATTTATACTAATAATTAACACTTAGTTAATAGTTAAAAAGTATAACTTGCCTTCGTCCTCCTCGCTATCTTCGCTGGGTGTGGGAGTTCTCTCCACTTCGCTCTTATCTACAACAGATTTCTCTTCAGGTGAATACTTAGCTTCATCCTGGTCTATTTCAGTTTCGTGTGGCATCGCCTCTGCTATTTGATTGGCGTCATAAATTCTTTCTTTTACTTTGTTGTCTTCTTCCGCTATATAGTGAAAAGGTTTAGAGCGAGATCCTTTGTGTTATTATGTTGAATTACCTATGTCTATTACATTAGAGTTTAAATTTGCTTAGGTTATAGTATCTAAATGAAAAATATGACAACGTTCTTAGTTGTATTTAAATCGAGGATTAACTGTTAAAGATATAAGTAGGTGTGTATTATTCATACCTTTGTATGCTTCGATTTCTTCAGATTCCTGTCTTTCTTGATAGATGTTGCGTTGTATGCGTCGTTCATTGCTGACATCTGACTGGGATGCGATAATGTCGTCTCTACCGATACGACATAGTGCCAACTCTAGAGAATTATCTGTAAATTAAAAACATATTCATTTTATCACTTATAATTATTTCGTAACGATTTCGTACTGGAAAGAGATTACCATAGTAGTTACTGATAATTCAATAGACATTATCAAACATAATGGAGTATATGTGCTATCAGATCTAGTCACAAACTGAATTACTGTAAATATCGTACATTTTAAGGAATCTACTAAGAGTACCGTTTATCGACTGTGATTAAAGTATAATACCTAGAGCCTTGGTCCCGGATTGCGTCTTCCATAGCTTCAGCATGAGTTGAGCCTGCTCAGCGGCGGTGATGCGCTTGGCCTGTATCTGGTTGACAGTGGCCACGCTCACACCTAGCTCGTACGCCAGCGCCACCCAGTCCTTGCCCAGTAGGTTGCAAATGTCTTCCAATCTGATACAAATGATTATATCGATATGAGGGTTGTCGTCACCAGGATTTACATATTGATTTATAAAACTTAGCCTAAGTTTATCTTTTAGCCGTTTAAGCTTGAACAATTTCTTTTAATAAAAATTCATACTATTTGTATTTTAGCATATTAAAGACTACTATTTCTAACAGACGGGTTATCTTTTTTTAACGAATCTGTGATGGGTTACCGTGGATCTCTCAGCCTCTGTCGCCAGACGAGCTCCTGGTCTTCAGTGCGGCGCGGCAGGGTGTCCAGCTGTACGGGCGATGTCCTCTCAGCCGGGATGTCGTCCGGCACCATTATGTTCAGGATTGCGATCTGACAACACATCGATGTAAACAACAGTTATCAGTAAATATTGCCTGTTTTGACTGTGTTCTTTACAATAACGATAATTTTAAATTGTTAAAACTTTCGTGAGACATTATCATAAACGAATAAAGGACTCAACTCAAGTAGTCTCTCTCAACTAATCGTCGCCATCACCGGAATATCAAATGTGAGTTGAACCGTACTTAATTCATTTATTGATTAATTTATCAGGTTAGTTGTGAGGATAGGAGGTATTTAAGGTAAAGAGTCTTAGTTCTAGTTTATTCGCTCTTTATAGCGGTTTTTTTTTTCTTTTCTTACCGGCGCTGGAGAAGGCTCTCCCTTAGGGACCTTAGGGTCCCTCATGAATTGACAGCGGCAGATCGGCTCCAGATCTTGAGTCTTGATCATCACCGGGAACGCGACCCGGTTCTCTCTGAAGGCGCGGAACGGTAGTGATAACTGTTCGCCGGACTTCGCAACCGGGACTAGGTTCCCACCGAACTCCAAGTATACCGGTTTGCCTTCGTGGACCTGAAGACATTAAATAGTTTAGTTATTCCTATTATTTTGCACACTAATCTTAGAAAAACACTTAAAAATAGAACTAAATTGCACAGATTTGACAAAAGAGCTTCTCAGTCTCTTAATTTCAGTATTTCATTACGTTAACTGTTTCTTTCCGTCAATAAAAACACATTCAAAAGTTCCATCAATAAAAAGGAAAAAATGACTTATAATATAAGTAATTTAAACTATACCTCAACGTCTCGACTCTTAGCAACTTGTATAAAGCGCTCGATCCTCTCCAAGGTCTTGTCCTCTTTATCATCAGTGACGCAGAACATCCTCAGCTGCGCCTGGCACTCGTCTGTTCGCTTGGCGTATACCACGAAACGTGACATAAATGGTACGTGGATGGCCTCCCTATAACATCACACTTTTATATAAAATAAAAGTAATTAACTAATAGAATTTGATAATTGGTATTGATTCTCCAAGCAAGAAAGCATATAACAGTTTATTGAAGTCGGATTTCATTTACAGTTTTAATCTCGTTTGCATAAATAAAAATCTTCTACGAAAACATCATCAAACCTTGTCCCTACAATATGCGTTACCATCAGCCTTCATATCTGAATTCACTACCTTCTTAAGCATATCCTCTTTCAGACACATGAAATCATTGCATTATATTCTAAGATTCTAATTCATTTTTTATACCTGTACAATTCTGTAGCCATCTTAGTAGCATCTTCAATATGACGACAATCTATCAACCAATATCTTGCAGACACAGTCGTGGTGAAGGACACGCAGTCGTTGACGAAAGTAAGCGGCGTGTTCTCGGTAACATCCTCCCAATGCGCGCGATTCGTTCCACCTGAAGAATGAAACAAAACTAACAAATCTAATAAATTATATAACAAAAGCTACGCATCTACGATTACTGCCAATCAACAAAGCAGGTCTGCAGTCATTACTGGTTCAACCGCAACAAAATTCCGTCTCTATTCATGCTGGAAGCCTTTAAATTTTAATATAACCAAATTAAACTAATTTACAAGGAAATTACTAAGATACTTATTCAAGACAGAAATGTAGACATACAAATGTGTTAGAATTGCACACATACAGTTTTAATCTTTATATTACAAATGTGGACAGATCGAATTAAATAACTGAAAGTATCGCAAAAGTAAGAAATAAACAACAAATGTTTCCAAAACGGCCTATAGCAAACACAACAAGCAAAGACATCACACAACAGAAACATTTTTTTTTCAAATATAAATTTAACTAACAAGAAATGTGGAATATGGCATATAGTGTAACTGTTACCTGATCATCTTAAAGTAAGTGCTGTTTTTGAACATAACAATGAATACAAACGAATTATAATTGCAGGTCTGGTTTTCCAAAAAACAGATCTCTCGAAGGACATTCACTGAAATTTAACTGGAGTATTGACAATCGGTGATAAAGGTAAAATAAAAAAAGATGATATGAAGAAATTAGAACTGATAGGCCGTTTTGGAAATAAACTTCATTACAAGCAAATTAATAGAATTTTAAAGAACTTGTCGCAGTATTATGATATGATGGTACCGATGACATCTCAGATAACATCCTAAACTAAAAGGAAAGTGTTCTGTGATAGATTTGTTTATATTGTGCCAGTACAATTGATCTAAATTATTGTATCAGTCTGTTGTTAACCAACCAGTGGCATCACAGTGCGTTAAATGTCCCAAGAATTTATGTTACAGTGTAATTGTGGTAGAAAGCGTAAAAAATCCAGCCCGTGCATAAAAGAATGTATGAGAAGCGAGAAATGGTAAAAAAAAGCATTCAAAAATATCATTAAATTATTTCAGACATGACATTCGAAAAACAAAAAGCGCGTTGAAACATCTAAAACAAATGAAGTGTGAAATAAAATTAAAACAAGAAAATTAATATTTAACGTGTAACTAAAACCGAGTTCAACCCTGCCTTTAAGTTTATGGATAATTCTATATTTTTTTTACCTTCGAGAGATCGTTTGCGAAAAACCCCTGTTGGTGAGCGTCCATACGTGGGCCGCAATTAATATAGTTCCATACACGGTGAGCGTGCAACACACACAAACACACGAGAACAAAGACAATGTAGACACGATTACACACAGGGATACCGCCCAGCTCTCCTAGCTCTCCAAGCTTTCGGTGTAAAGCGCATGTGTGTATTCTGTTTCGTTTAGTAAATCATTTTACAGGCTTAACTACGCTATATTTTCTGATCGACATGCCAATCCCTTTGTCTATAGATTTAGGGATGTTTTGTTTCTAAATTCGTTAACCTCTGTCAACTACACTATAGTTTACAAAAGATAAAAAATGTTCTATTACAAGATTATTTATCTATAATATATTCAATCTATAATTACACTATCGATATTTGAAAACTATCTTCTACCTATGTCTTTTCAAATTTTAATATAAACGAGTTGATTTTGAATTTCATTTTATATTATATATTGTGTTGTAATGGAATATAGGTTATACATAAAAAGTATATAAGCCTAATTATAAGCTGGATTTTTTCCTACTTTAGGCTGACTTACCTTTTAGCCAAGCTATCTCGATAGCAAATATAAGCCATAATCCATTGCAACACTTTACATTACCATTTAGATATTGGACATGAAATCGAGAAAACATCCGGTAGTCGAGGAAGTATATTTCCTACCCTAGTCGAAAGGGGACGAAATAATAGCTTGGTTGTTCGGTAAAGTGGGAAGCGAATTTAATTCTCTGATTGTTTTCGTCTCCAATATCCATAATGATTTGCAATACAAGACAGCAGGATGCATACCTGATATGGAGCACAGCAGTCGAAGAGTTGGGGCTGAGGATGTGCTGTACTGGTTTGTCATCCCCTGGGTATGAGGACGAGGCGCTGGCATGCTGAGGGTTATAGCTTTATGGAACTTCCGTCTTCTTGGTTCTACGGTGACGACTGGTGATACTGCCACTCCTCGTCCAAGAAGTTTCGCTGTTAGTTCGGAATCTATGATTTGTGCCTGCAGAGTAAATTTGTATCATATGTTAAAACTACATAAATTACCGAAATACAATGTTCACTTAAGGTGGATATCTATGTGTCACGATTTCTTTTAGTAAAAGAGCACGCGCACTTTAACTAAACTATCGCAAAACTCGCTTTGATACATATGTATGAAGATGCGCACACAACTCGATTAGTCGTTCAACTAAACAGTTGCATTGGCTGCGAAACAATCGACAATCGCACTACAGTTGCAATAGTTTAGTCAAAGGTGTGCATCCACTATAAGGGCTTTGTAAATTTCATCCAAGATTACGCGTTATTATGTATGTTTATAATAAATTGTATTTTAGGCACTATGCTTTTTAAATCAATGGCCTACTTTTTTAAGCTAATTACATATAGTTTAGTCGATATGAGATACGATTAATTTGATATAACTTAATATAGCAATAAAAATCTAGTAGAAATGATTTTGTTTAAATAAATTTCAATTTATAATATTCATTAGTATATTCTTCTTAATAAAGTCTTAATTATTCTTGTTATCTTCTTTTGTTATTTTTTTTTATAACATAAGGTGGCAAACGAGCAAGCGGCCACTAGAATCCGCCAAAATGACGAAGCGACCGCTGCCCATAGACATCCGCAATTGCAGATGCGTTGCCTACCCTTATACGACGGAGGAGGAGACGCACATAAAGAGGATATTTCCCCTTCCTATGCATCTCCTCTACCGTCTAATCCACTTCCCTTTCCCAACCTTTCCTTATAAGAAAAGGGTGGTAAAGAGAAAGGGACTTAAATTAGGCCTTCGGCACCACACTCATCAGACGAAACACGGAATTGCTTCCATTTCACATCTGTCTTCTGTGTGGTCGTGGTATTACACCGGGCGTGCCGGCCCATTCATGCTAAGATGTTAAAGCGGGCACTGTAAAACTGTTATTACGATTCTTCTGTTACATTTCATAAAAAAAAAATTAAGCTTAAAAATGTTAAACAAATAATGTTCTTACCGATGATGAATGTTTAAATGAATTTGAACCAAATCTTTGTATTCGACTAAAAAGGTTACTAAAAAGAAATATCAATTATCTATACTATTATAATAAAGCGTAAACACACACTTCTTTGTTGCCTAAGATGTCAGCAATCACCGTACATTTTTGAATAATTCTTTTTTTAATAAAAAAAACCCTACACTTGCATCACGCTTTAGCCTATATACTTTAACGCCATTAAACTTAGGGGGTAAATATTTTGGATAAAAACCCTAATGTGGGAAAGAGACCATAAGTTGCTGCCAACATCTAGGAAGCAAGATTGTCACCATGTCATGTCATTTGACATTTGTAATTGATAATTTGACATAATTTCATGAGGATGAAGTCGCACGAGAACTGACTAGCGGTTCCCATGCGACTTCATCCGCATAAAATCATAAAAAAATAATTTTATCGTTCACATTTGTCAAATTATCAATTGCAAATGTCAAAATGACATGACATGATGTAAAACCATGGCAACCTTGCTCCTTTGATGTTGGCAACAACTTATGGTCTCTTTCCCACATTAGGGTTTTTATCCAAAATATTTACCACCTAAGTTTAACGGCGTGAAAATATATAGCCTAAACCGTGACGTAAGTGTAGGACTTTTTATTAAAAAAAGAGTTATTCGAAAATATGCCGTGATTGCTGACATCTTAGGCAACAAAGAAGTGTGTGTTTACGCTTTATTATTATATAATAGTATAGAAATATCTTATCAAGACCAAACGTGTACGATGTGAGAATGCGGGTAGTTGGTGCAAAAGTAAAATAAAACATAAATAAGCTTACCTTTTATCTTAAATTCCTTTTACTGTTTCCCTTTTTTCCAAAATAAAAACATTTAAAACACTAATGTGTATGACTCATTAGTTTAAAATAATGGGGATGTGCAAAGCAAAAATGAACATATGAAATCACAGGAAAAGCAAGGAAATCTTTCAATACAACTCTCACATATTTCTCACACATGCGCATAAAAAAAACCAAAGCATAACACACCAGAGCAAAAAAATACATGCAATTCTCACGTTTGGTCTTTAGGAATAAAGTTCAAAATTGCATAACAAACATTCATCATTGACAAGGCAAAGCACAATATTTACCCAATAAATTTATCAATCTTAAAAATATACTTAAACATACGTCACTCCAAAAACGAACTTTAACACTATAAAAATACGGTACCTTTTAGATCAACAAGCTTAAATTTTATACTAACATGCCTCAACCTAAAGACCAAGTAGAGACTATCAGGAAACTTTGACGCGTTTTATCGCAGTGTGAGAAACTGACGAGTGATTTCATATTTTTCAAATTTACTTCAATTAAAAACAAATTCACATTTATATATGACTTTAATGAATTACAGAAATTCTAAGCAATTTTAAGATAATTCAAAATTTATTGGGTATGACATCATCCCTATAGGAGTAACGCATATTTAACATAAGTCAACTTATAACTAACTTACATTGATTACTTAAATATAGGTCCATACACTGAACACAATATAATAACATAAATTAAAAAAAAAACTTTACAGAAACTAACAAATACAATTGATTTATTACATGAAGTACCAAATTGTAGTAATTATTAGAAACTTTTTCATCTTAAATATTTGACAATCTGCAAACGAAAATAATGTTTAAAATATATCCTAAATAATAAAAAGGACCATTTAAAATTGATTTAAAAATACACAATTAAAAATCTAAAATACTAACACACTGGTAACTACGTTTATTTTAAAACCTAAGTCACCGATCACTTGTAGACTTCAGTTTTAAATCAGACTAGGCTTTAATATGTTAGAGACTCAATAAACAATGTACAATCGCTGAAATTCTCGGCACAGAAAGTAACCCTTGTTCCTTGCAATATAAACTTCGCCTATTAAATAATCTATACTATTATAATAAAGCGTAAACACACTTCTTTGTGGCGTAAGATGTCAGCAATTACAGCTTATTTTTGAATACAATTTATGTAGTAAAAACCCCTACATTTACGTCACTCTTTATGCTATATATTTTCACGCTATTAAACTTAGGGAGAAAATAAATTGGATAAAACCCTAATGTGGGAAAAAGCTACGCTACGAGCCGCCAACATCAAGAAGCAAGATTGCCATCGTTGTCACTTGTAAACAATAATGTAAAGTTTTTACAATTTCATGCGGATGAAGCCGCATGGGAACAGCTAGTTATTTAGATAGCAGTGAGTGCAAACTATATATTACTAACCGACTTTTTCGTAGACACATTAATAAGCTGCGTTGTATTGAATTTCGCGTCGCGTTTCAAAATGTTCAAACGATTGCTGCTTTTATAGTGGAACACCAACAAATTCCCCGATTGTACAGTCGGGAAAACTGAGACCGGAAAAAAGTCGTATAGTGTATACGGCCAGTTTCTTTTTATTATTTTTTTGCACTCACTGCCATCTATAAGTTATTTATAGGAAGAGGCGGAGCTTGTATTGTTGCAATGAACAAGGCAATTTTTCCTGAAGTTGTACGCCGATGATTCGAACGATTGTATTACACACATTTATATTTTCACATGGATATTTCATTAAACTTTCTTTCCATAAATGACTTGTTAATTCCTAGCCTGATTTGAAACCAACGCAATTTTGCCGGTGACATAAATGTGTAAATTTACTTATAATATTATTGCTTGTTATACAAATAATAACTACTACATTTAAGAATGCCTTATTTCACGATGAAAGTTATTGCCAAAAACACACTATGAAAATTTTTTATCAAAAGATTTTTAAAACTTTAAATTCTGGTTTTTCATTGATGTTAATTTAATCTGCTTTAAAAGCTATAAGCGAATGTTTATTTAATATTATAATACTGAAAATTCGGTTATTGTTTTTTTTTTTAATTTATGCTTTTATTATAAAGTATATCCTAAGATCTTTTAAAGAAACTATGATTACTAAAATACTAATTGTAGCAATTATTGAAAACTTATTAAATAAACTTAAAATTTAAAATTTAAATTATATTAATTATTGTGTATATGTGTACTGACTGATGTTACGAACTAATTTTAGTCCCTTTCCCTTTCCCATTCTTATGAGTAAAGGATGGGAAAGAAAAGTGGAATTGACGATGGAGGAGACGCATGTCCTCTTTATGTGCGTCTCCTCCATCAATTAAGGGTAGGCAATGCATCTGCCATTGGATGTTTATGGGCAGCGGTCGCTTTCTATTTTGGTGGATTTAGCTGGCCGCTTGCTTGCCTTATATTATAAAAAAAACGGCGTGTAATGTAACGATTTAGGTAGTCAGTACGTGCTACAAGTTACGTTACACCGCGTAACATCAATCAGTACACACTTAAAGTGAGTTTACAAATGGTTTCTAGCAGTCTAATTTGGAATGTGTTTGTTTAAAAATGAAAATTTGGCATCATGTTTTTGTACTATAAATTGCATTTTATTATCGAATCAATTAATTCATTAACTATTGATATAATTGTAAACAACACAATCCACTGAAAAACATTTACATAAGCATGTGGTCTCGTTTCTTCCAAAGAGTATGAACGAGATGCCAATATTATATATAAATTGGACAAAAAATCTTCAAAGTTACCTTAAATTAAATACAATACTACCAAATTAAAGAGAAACGTTTCTTTTTAGACACATTATTGACGGTTATCTTTTTCAAATTCATATCTTTCACACCTTTCCGTGGTTTGAACAGGTTTACCTGTAGGCCAACTTTGATCTTCTTGGTCAGCGCGCCCTGAGGGAACACCGCCTGCACCTGAGGCACCACGGAACTCGACACCATGCCACCTGGAACATTTTACATTTAATTTAATTAATTTATTATAATAGATAATGGGGAATTAAAGAGACCTTTATGTAATTTTTCTTACTAAACTATAAGAAACAGCGTCTATCAGTCGATAAGATAAATGCAGATTAATTCTGGGTTTCTGAAGTTTCCATTTATATTGTCATTACCTAGCGACGCATTATTGTTAGGTTGACCTCTCCTTAAACGGTTACGTAGTTCGGAAAATCCGTTCATTAATTTATCGAAACAAAAACATTAAAATACATATAAACTAAATAATTCAGTTTACATTGGACCTCTAAATACCGTAGCTATTTACCTTCAGGTCCAATAGCATGCACCTCCTGTCGGATGCGGGATATGACAGCAAAGTACTGCGGGAAGTCGTGTGTGAGGATGCGAGTGATGCGCGGCGCGTCCCAGCCTTTCTCCTCGTCGTTGGTTTCTACAAAACAAATGCAATAAGACACATTGATGTTCGTATAATTTGGTATACCAAAATCTATATAGTTAAGTCGTACATTGTTTCAAAAGAAATAAAGTACAATCGTGAGATAGCTTAGATTACGCCAATTTTAATGCCGACTTCATACAAATTATCAGAAAAAACATTCTAATAAGGCTATAAACATCTTATTAAAACAAATTTTACCTTACAATGTATGTATTCACTAATACAAAGCGCATTCAAGCCAAAAAAAACATTCAAAACATCAGTTGAACTTGTCCATGGGGGCTTAAGTTATAACCCACAGTGCGGCGTGAGTTTTCTTTTTACAACGTGCACACCACCTTTGACTAAAATATCGCACAACTGTTTAGTCTCGCTTTGAATCCTATGAGCTTATATGGAGGTGGGCACACTACTCATATTTTAATTTTTAGTTGTGCAACTAAACAGTTGAATTGGCTGCGACACAATCGAAAATCGACAATCGCACAACAGTTGTCCGATAGACTATCATAGCGTAACTTAAGGTAGTCTCCAAAGCCTTTAAAAATACATATAATGAGTTAATCAAGTCCAAGGTTACCTTCAATCTCCAGTGTTTCATGCAATATGTCCTGCACGACGTCCTCAGTAGCATCCGCGTTGTGTTCGCGCCAACTGGTGCCGTTGTCTGAGCGCAGGATGACTATCTCACGCTCTTTTCCGCGGAGAGACGCGTAGTGTGGCACTTCCAGTATCACAGGACTGAATAAATTAACAATTGTAAGTTTGATACAGCTAGATTATCCTTTACTAACTGTTAAAAGTAAAAAAATAGCCTATGTTACTCACTGACTAATTACCTTTCTAATGGTGAGAGAAATTTAAAAATTACCCCAAAAACTTGGCGGAGATTGGGCCCATCTCAAGCACGCGCGCAGCGAGCGCCTCGCCCTCCATCAGCGGCGGCATGTGGTTGATGCGGGACGGCTTCAGATATCTGCAACAAAATGACAGTAGAGACATAGGAATAGATGAGGCAGATTTATATTTGGTTCTACTCTTAAACAGGACTTTTGTTTCTTGTTCTTTTATAGTAACTGTAACCGAATTCAAATTTTCCTTATGTTACATCGCACCTAAAGTCTGCCGAAAACACTTTAAGAATTTCTTAACAAAATATCTTCCACAGCACTAAGAAAATAGTTCCAGGTATTGTAAGATTCAAATTTTATAGCAGCTCGGATTAAGCTACGAGGACCAAATAGTCTTCTGCGAAGGAAAAGCCAATAGTGTTTTGTCTGCCTTAGACTCGAGGATATTTGAAAATAACAACATAGTATGTAATAGGAAATCGGTAATCACCATACATTTTGAGAGCACTTTAGCGTTGTTAGTTAACAATAACATTACCTGCAGGTGATCCTGGTCGGTTGTTGTGCGGAGAGCGGCGGCACTATGACGCGCACACCGCCGCCGCGGCAGCCGCGCATCGCACCACCGCGCGCGTCCACCAGGAACGACACCAGGAAACTGACAATAACACAATATTAAGAAACTTACACGCATTATTGACAAAAAGACACACAAATTAGAACCTTATTTATTTTAAGAATATGGTACATTAGTAAAATTCACAGAATTTATAAAAGACCAGCCGTTACTTGCGATTTTGTCCACACGGAATTTAATAAAAATAGTTATAAATACTGAAATAATTTTTTAAGCCGTCTTAGTAGTTTTTGAGTTATTTAAATACGTGCATAAATACAAATCTTTCCTCTTTATATTATTAAAGGGTGAATGATAAATAATATTTCGACTTAGATTGTAAATTACTTACTTCTTCCATTGTAGTTTCTTCCTGTTATTTTATGATCCCAGACAGCATGCACATGAAGTTTTTGATTAAAATTATTGAAAAATCTGAAATGTTATGCCATAATTTATATTTATGAATAAACTAGCTTTCGTCGGGGACTACGTCCGCGTGGGATTAAAAAAACATTAAGTAGCATATGTGTTCAGCCTATGATCTACATCTACGCCAAATTCCATCGACAATCGTTCTGCAGTTTATTCTACATACTTTGACAAATATCCGTCCGTCCATCTATCTCTACTCTTTCGAATTAATAATAAGTAAGAAGTAATATAGTTTAGTATAATAATTTCTCTATACGCATTTTATGTCTCTCTTCATATTTATCTCTATATGTTTTTCCGTTAGACAGTCAAGTAGTATCAAAATTTATGAAACAATTCGTTTGTATCCAACTATGAAATCGTCTTAACGGTGGGCACTGGCACGCCCCAGAACCATTACTGACTTAGGCTGCGTGGGGTCAACGTTGTAGCAGTATCCCTTGGGGGCCTGCGCGGTGCTGTAGCGGCTGATACTCTTCACCACCACCTCCTGCTGCGGCTGGTACGGGATGCCGTTCACTGATCCTGGAATTGTACAAAGACCAACGATCAACATCTATAGTAACATGAAAAAGCGAATAAATAAATGAATGCCTTATTACTTCATGAGAGCCTTGGCTCCTGGGCTAGGTTCTTCTGTGCTGCAGGAGCCAAAATACTCATCTTTGTTATGTCAGCAATCATATAGCATATTTGAAAACAATCCATTTTTTTATTAAAAGCCAAACATTTTTGGAATGCTATAGACTATAAGTTTTCATGCTTTTTTAGGGGGTGAAAAGAATGGAAAATTATTGTGCACGTAATGCGAAGTCATGAATATATGAACAAGTAAGTTATACCTTGAGATATCTCCATAATATTCTTATGGCTCATAGCGGATTCTGTTCTCTCGTCTTTGGTGACGTCAATAGGCAAGGAGTCGTCTCCCAGTGACTTCATATCATCCGCCGTCAGGTAGCGGTATGGCTGGTCGTTCAGAATAGTATCTTCTCCTAGAAAAATATAAATAGTTACAGATACAATACGATCATACTATCCTTTGAAAATTCTATCAAGATTTTTGAAAACAGAACGATGTGACATGAAACCTTTAGAGAGCACACCTTGAACTATCGCACTGTTTAGTCTGGCTTTGATTCCTGTGAGCTTATAATTATTAGTTGTGCAACTAAACAGTTGAATGAGCTGCGAAACAATCGACAATCTCATAACAGTTGTGCGATAGTTTAGTCAAAGGTGGGCGCCCATTCTTAAGGTATCTGAACTATTTGGTAATTCGATATTCCCACTATCCAATGTTTGAAAATTCATTCTCTCAAGCTCCTTGAAAATAAAACTTTTAATGGTACATGAAATTCTATCTTCTTTTATTATTTTTCTCTTTTGTTATTAACAACATACCTTCTTCTTCCGAGTCCGACATGAATGTCTCCAGCATAGTCTCCGGCGCGACCACTTTGTACTTCTCCTGCGAAGCCGCGCTGATGGAGGGGTCCGACACTTCCTTGAGCGTCTCCATCACTGTCACGTAGCCCAGCTTAGACGCTATGTCCAATGGAGTTTGACCATTCTGGTAGGATCAGACATTTAAGAAATATATAGACTAGATGTAAGGAACAACATATTTTTACCGGTAACTTCTTTGAACGGTAATATCGTCAAACTTGATACGCCGAGACGCTTCTCAGTGTTTTGTTTGTGTTCTTCACAACCGGACAACAGGTAGCGTTAATGAGATTATGTGAAAAATGATTCAAGAGTCAACTATGTTTAAAAAAATCCTTCATGTGGGAAAGGGACTAAACTACAAGCTGCCAACATTAAGGATGGTTATTTTGGTAACTGTAATTTTGACATTTGCAATTGAGAAATTGACAAATGTAAACAATAAAATAAAGTTTTCATAATTTTATGCGGATGAAGCCGCACGGGAACAGCTAGTATTAATGTGTAGCTCGTTGCAAATAAAATGCCAAACTATACTCAAACTATACATACGACTGTGATAGCGTTCGGATCAGCTTTGTGTTCCAGTAGGATGTTAACGATGTTGATGTGACCTTGTTGAGCGGCGTGGTGCAGCGCAGTGTAACTGTAACAAAGTTCATTCATTCATTTAAAATATCATTAAAAAATAAATAAGATATATGTCAGTGTTTAAAAATTTCTGAATTTATTGTTGACTAGCTGTTGCTCGCGACTTAATCCACGTGAAATTTACAAACATAGCCTATGTTACTCAACGATTACATAGCTTTTTAATTTTGAAAGAATATTTGAAATCGGCCCAGTAGTTTTTGAGTTATTTCAATATATGTAACTATAGAAAAATCTAAATGTCGAAATGACAAAACGGTAGATTATTTAAACAAAACACAATGTAACTTACCCATGATTGGTCTGAGCTTTAACAGAGGTGCCGTTCTCTAGCAGATATCGCACCATGTTAGCCTGGCCGTAGTGACTGGCGATGTGCAGCGGTGTGTACCCGCCCTTAGTGCATATATCCACCTGAAAAAGGGAATCTACATGTAAAGAAAGTAAAGATTTTTCATGATTAAGGTTAGAAGAATCGACGAAATAATAAATTATTTTGTTATCATAAATATTGATGAAAAATACATTTATATGCTTTCGCATAAAATTCTGTCCGCGTAGAAATAAAAAAGAAACAAAAGTGCCTATGTGTTCTTCCATACTATGTTTCTACATCTGTACCAAACTTCATCGAAATCCGTTTAACCGCTCAGGCTACAAAGTCCAACAAACGTCTATCCATCCATCTAAACTTTCGCATGTAACTAATATTATAAATGTACAAGTTTAGATGAATGGATGGATGTTTGTTAAAGTTTGTAGCCTAAATGGTTGAACGGATTTCGATGAAATTTGGCATGGATGTAGAGGATAGTCTGGAAGAACATAGGCTAAGATACATAAGAACATAGGATAAGAATCTCACGCAAACAGAGTCGCGAGCAAAAGCTAGTTTATAATATTACTAAGATTATCTTTGTGATAATCCAATAGTATAGACTTTTAACAAGAAGTCATTATTTTCCTTTTCCGATTGTTCTTTTATCAACATTACTATGTTTCTAGATTACTTCAAAACGTGAAATAAACCTGTCCTCCATTCTTGAGCAGCAGCTGTGCCACCGGCACGCGGTCCTCCTGCGCGGCGAGGTGTATGGCTGCCAGACCGTTCTTAGCCTGCTGGTCCACCTCCGCTCCATGCTCCAGCAATAACGCACACATCTCCGTGTGACCCTGGACAAATTATCATTACTTTTAACAACATTCTTATAAACCAAACCATTATCTTTATCCTCTTTCCATAATGTTAGGAACAAATTTAGTACCGTACCGTGTCGAATTGGCGCAACTCTAGATTATCGGCACAAACGTCACGTCCCTAGCTGACAGCTGTCAATGTCACTAGAAGTATAGATAGATTGGCGCGCAACCTGGGTCTTGACGAGAAGTGTTGCTCTGAGTTTAAAGCGACAGTATCAATTAAATAAGTTGTCGAAAAATAACTTGACTACTTTTGCCCCTTGCCAATGTATATTTAGGGAAGCTGGGTCTACCTTGAAAACTACAATCGATTGAACCTTTTGAACGAGAAGCGGAACAAGAATCAATACAAAGCTTATAATGTATCTGTACAAGAAAAGGGTTAGTGCTTCATGGCTAGTGTCTTTTTATTATTATTCCTTAATTTGCAAAACTTATTGGTATCCAAATAGTTATTTTTTTCTGAATCAATTGAATTACTTTGGTTCTCGCTTGGTTGTATCTCCTTAACAATAAAAACATCTTTGTACCACTCACTTGTTGAGCTGCAAGATGCAGCGGTGTAAACCCAGCTTTAGATTCAGCGTTGGTGAGCGCGCCGTACTCCAGCAGCGTGGCCGCAGTCTCCATCTGGTTCTTGCGGGACGCGATGTGCAGCGGCGTGTGACCGTTCTTTGCTACTGCCTGTGACAATACACGGAGCATACTTAATAATAAATGACAATAATTTTAACAGTGGCAGAGCCCGCTTCGCACTACAGAGCTAGCTCCCTGGAGAAATACCACGACAATACAGAAGACAGACGTGAAGTTGGAGCAATTCCGCGTGCAGTCGGATTAGTGTGTTGCCGGAGTCCTAATTTTAGTCTCTTTTCCTTTCCATCTTTTTCTTAAGATCAAAGGATGGGAAAGTAAAGTGGATTTGACGGCGGAGGAGACGCATAGGAAGGGGAAATATCCTCTTTGTGCTTCTCCTCTTCCGACGACTAAGGGTAAGCAACGCGTCTGCAATTGCGAATGTCTATGTGCAGTCACTTCGCCATTTCAGTGGATTCAGATGGCTGTTTGCTTATTTGCCACGTTATTATATAAAAAATAGTACAAGATTGGTGTAACAGTTAAAGGAATTAGTAAAGGAATCATCATTCATTGAATATTCAGATTCGATTAATCAAATTATTTGTTAACTTTGCTGAAAGGAGATACGGGTTGCTTGTTACCTTGGCATCAGCGCCCTTCTCCAATAGTGTGGTGGCGACCGCCTGCTGGTCGTATTGCGCAGCGACGTGCAGCGGCGTCATGCCGTTTTTACCCGCCTGGTCGGGCGACGCGCCGTGTGCCAGCAGAAGATTGGCGACCTTCGTAACAAACAGATCAATTACACCAGTTAATATTATAAATGCGAAAGTTTAGATGGATGTTTGTGAGAGTTTTTAGCCTAAACGGCTTAACAGATCTGGATGAAAGTTGGCACAGGTGTAGAACATCCTTTGTAAAGACACACTGGCTACTATAACAGCTTTTGTTTTTTTTAATTACACGTGGACGGAGTCCTGGTCAAAAGGCTCAAGTAGTTCAATACGAATTCTAGTATTCAATACTTCTATTTTATCAAGATCTAAAATATTGTAAAATGTACCTTTAAGTTTCCATATTTAGCAGCTAGATGGAGAGCAGTGAAGCCTTTCTTTGTAGTCGCTGTTAGAGGTGCGTTGTGCTCGATCAAAGCCGCGGCAACCTAAAGAAAAAGTCATTAATTATTAATAAGTCAATTACTATCACAATTGAGTCATCGAGACAGAGGTCTCTTAACATAGACGCTTAACTTAGTCATCAATATTCTATTTTACAACTCACAGTAAACACTTTACAAAGAGTGACGGACAAAAGTAGACCTAGAAAGAGATGCACGGATTGCGTTAAAGGTAACATGACCAAGGGATGATGACTGAGAGGACGGATGATAGTTATTTGAAGGACGAAAACTTGGTGTGCACTGTTTGGGAGAAGGATAAGGTAGGAGAGATGTAAGAGTGACAGAGATAAAATAAATATGTGGCGAAGAGTCTTACATCATGATTATGCTGCTTGGCGGCGATGTGCAGCGCGTTGTAGTGGTCTGCGGTGAGGGCGCGCACATCCGCGCCGTGCTGCAGCAGCAACACCGCGATGTCCACGTTGCCGAGCCGCGAGGCGATGTGCAGCGGCGTCTGGCGCTCACGCGCCTTCGCCTCCACAGCCGCGCCGTTGCGGAGCAGGATGCGGATTATATCCGTCTAAATAACACATACATCAGTTTACATATAATATAGATACCATCTATTACTCGCGATATTGTCCCCGTGAAATTAAAAACAGTAAAAGATATATACACAGATAAACTACCTTACTAATGGAGAAAGAATTTTTGAAATTTTCCCAGTAGTTTTTGAGTTATATCAATACATACAAAAATACAAATCTTTCATTTTTTATATAACCGATAGTCTAGTATACAACAGAATAGCAGTTTAGCAGCTTGAAAGAAGTCGACTGAATTGTGAAACTATCTTCTTATCGATTTCCTTACGGTTAGTCTAATATTAATCATTATGACTATTTTCAAAATTGACGACATTAACAACACAATAAAAGACTTCTCGCAATGATGATCGAAAAACTGCATCAATAAATATCATTTACTCCCCAATGAGATTGGTATAAACATTAGCTATTTATCTTTTGATAGAAGCAATATTTAAGAAGTATGTTACCTGATTGGCCCGTGCTGCTAGATGCAGAGGCGTCTCTCCCCTGACTGTGGGCACGTCAGGGTTGGCCTCATGCTGCAGCAGGTAGATCACAATGTTCATGCAGCCCATGAACGCGGCCACGTGCAGCGGAGTCAACCCTGACTCCGTGGTCGCTTGGATACCTGAGGATTAGGATAAAATGTTGCTCTGATCTTCGTCTATGTATGTAAAATAAAAAAATAAAAAATATAGTCTTTGTTTTATGTAACTCACTGATAACGTATCTTTTTAATAATGAAAGAATTGTTGAAATCGCCCCAGTAGTTTTTGAGTTATTTCTAAAATACAATTCTCTCCACTTTATAATATTAGTATAGATTTTGAACATACTTATTTTTATTTCCTTTCTCTCATACTAAATCTGCCGTTTGATGATTCTGAATGCAATATTTAATAGTCTACTTTTTTATCATAATTTATAGAAGTATTTTTATACTTACTTGCTCCATACTTAAGGAGTAATTCCACGACCTTAATTCTGTTCTTTTTGCAAGCTATGTGTAACGGCGTGAATCCGTTCAGAGCTCTCGCGTTTGCATCTGCGTTTCTGTACATATAGAAAATAGTTATAAAAAAACATTGCCAACGCAATAAAAACGGAGACAATTAAATACAAGTACTAGCTGTTTCTCTCAACTTCGTCTGCGTGAAAAATTTAGCCTATGTTACTCACAGATAAATTACCTTTGTAACGGTGAAAGAATTTTTCAAAACGGCCCAGTAGTTTTTGAGTTATTTCAATACATACAAAAATACAAACAATTCTTCTTTATAACAATAATATAGATATTAGTAGTGTAGTCTCACGTTACCTGTCTAGTAGGAGTTTGGCAACTTTAGCGTGTCCGCAGTGGGCGGCGACGTGCAGCGCGGTGAGGTAGTCCACTGTGACGTCATCGACGGGAGCGCGCCGGGAGAGCAGCACGCGCGCTGCCTCCGCGTGGTCTCCTTGCGCCGCCATGTGCAGGGGAGCGAGACCGTTCTGGGAAATTCAACTTTATTCATAACGTCTTACAGTTGGAATTTAACTGCTGTACAGATTTTGATTGAATTTTCTGTTACTAACCTCTCAAGTTTTCATCCTTACTTCCTTGATACATATAATTTCCTCTTAATCTCGTATAAGGGAAAAGATAACTTTACCTTGCTCTTGCTAGTGATGGGCGCGCCCCTATCAAGCAGGGTCTCTGCGACTCGCTCATGTCCCGAGCGCGCGGCGCAGTGCAACGGAGTCAGGCCATCCCTCGTGCGTGCTTCCACGTTGGCTCCGTTGTCACACAGTAACGACACCATGTTCTCTTTGCCTAAATACCATAACATAGTCCCTTAATAGGCCAAGGTAAGACTACATGGGAAGTACAGAAGTACAGAAGTAGAAATGGTTACATAAAATCAAGAAGTAGACCAGCATATAGAAAGAGAAGATTGCAAAATAGCTTTTCTTATATGTGCAAAATTTCCTTCGTTAAATTATTATGTAACTTAGCCGGTGTTACTCAGCGATAACGTAGTTTTCTAATGGTGAAAGATTTTTTTGAATCGGCTCAGTAGTTTTTTACTTATTTCTATATATAAAAATACAAATATTTCCTCTAAATAAAATAGAAGACCAGGTAATCAGGTCTTATTATTATTAGACAATACTTGATAAAAAATGTAGCAATTTTCAGTATATTATCCTTACCCCATTTAGCAGCAACGTGCAGGGGGCAGATGTTATGTTTAGCGGCACAGTTGACATCGGCTCCCTTAGCCAGGAGTAGACGCGCCACAGACTCGTTGCCGTAGTGCGCCGCGATATGCAGCGGCGTAAAGCCTGACTTCGAAGTTACATCCGGGTTGTGTTCATTCTAGGAATAACAGACATATTATACTATTGTGAAATTGGAAATAGTTACTAAATTATGCAAATAAGGATGACTGAGTTAATCACAGAGACTAGTTGAATCTTTTATAAGGGGTTTAGTAGATTGAGGATTTTTTTTATCATAAAGTAACTAACTGGCACGAGTACACTTGAACTAGCATCTGCAATTGCAGACGCGTTACCTACCTTTAATCAAAGGAGGAGGAGATGCACATTAAAAGTCTATGTCCCCTTCCTATGTATCTCCTACATTATCAAATCCACTTTCCTATCCTATCCTTTTATTATAAAAAAAGCTGGAGAGAGAAAGGGACTTAAATTAGGCCTTCAGTATGCATACTCATCATAGTGTACGCGGAATTGCTCCCACTTCACGCCTGGCTTCTTTTAGTCGTGATTGCACCGTGACTATGACGTTAACCCATTCATGGGAAGTTGTTAAAGCATGCTCTACCACTGTTAAAGATTTTATGGTTACTTCCACTCGTTCGTCTTTCTCCTCCGTTTTATCTTACCTCCAGTAACAAATTGGCAGCTTTGACATCATCCTTCTTAGCTGCGATGTGCAGCGCGGGCAGACGCACGCGGCCGCGCGTGTCCGCCTCTAGAAGTACAGCTACCACCTTCTCATGCCCCTGCTGCATCGCCACCGCCAGGGGAGTAAACCCATCCTGGTGACACATTGGATTTTATTATACAGTATTGTTTTTTTTTTTTAAATCAGAAAGCAAAAGCTATATATGTGGACGGTGAAAATTTTGCTGTTGAATTTGAAAGTAAACTCTTCTTGATACTTTTCTTTGAATGAGTAATTCGTCAAGTTAAAATGTAAAGAGGTTGGTTTACATCATGACAATGCTTTAGTATGGATCTGAATGTTGGGCCACCAAAGTGCGGATGAAAGAAGATTGCATGTGGCTGAGATGCGTATGCGATGGATGTGTCGACCCTCCGTAAGGGATGAGGGCAAGTGGATGATGAATGCTTTAGTAGTCTTGGTAATAATATTATGAAAGTTTAAATAGATGTTAGTTCCAGTTTATAACCTAAAAAGCTGAACAGATCTCGATGAAACTTGGTAGAATTTCGTACAAATATAGAACATAGTCTAGGAGATGCAGGCTACTGTTTTTTTTTTAATTCCACTCAAATGGAATCGAGGGTTATTAAGTAAGTATATTACCTCTGTGGCGAGACTCTGGTTAGCTCCATTTGCTAGTAAAAACTTGACAACGCCATCGTGATTCTCTTGCGCAGCCATGTACAAAGGCGTGAATCCATTCTGAGATTGGATGTTGACCTAGAACAAGATATAGGTTAGTAGTTACTGCAACACGCTGTAGGGAAGACAAAGGATGTCTTGTTTTAAAAACCTTTGTCTACTAAAGCTTTGCAAACACAATGTTTACGTTCTGTTGAATTATTTAAATGCATGATGAAAAGGATGTCTTTTTTTCGTAACAATGAAAACTTATGATTTTGTAAAAATACCGTCATAAAGATATAATTGTATAACGTGATACAAGCAAAAACCAATTTAAAAACCAATACAATTAAGTCCAAAATCCTGATGATTAATTAGAATGGTTGCGGTGAACGAAAACATCGTAATGTCTGGACATATCGGCGTAAAAATTTAAAGATGTATTAATTCGATCCGCAATGAGCCAACATGGTTGACTATGGCCTAGTCAACCTTAATTTAGGGTAGACTCCGAGCTCTGAATGGAAATGAATAACAAAAAAAATAAAAGAATTAAACAATATCGATTCATGAGAAATTTAAGTAAAATATATGAAAACTGAAAATAACGTTTGTCGCAAAATTTAATCAAGCAATTAACCATTTTGCAGTGTTCCACGCGGTCATTGACCCGAGGTCGGCCGATCGATGTAAATGATGATTCCGTCGACATTTTTATTCTCGGAAGCGATTTGCTTTGCGCATAAAATTGATGGATCATTAAGTTTTTTCGATTTATGTTACTACCCACTTTTTATTTTCAATACAAATACGTGTGTTGTTGATATTTTAACGACACATTTATTGTTCATGGATTTTTTTATGACTTCATCTTGATTATGTTTCTTCCAATTTATATGGTTATGAAATGTTTTGTTCGCAAATATAGCAAATAAAAAAATAAATCCGCGGCTAATTTAGAAAGTGCTTTGGCATGTATCACAAAAAACACATTTTGCTTTTAATATCGCAGTCAACCGAACTACGTTATAAAATCGTAGGAATTTATGAACAAATGAGCCACATGTTCATGTTCATAACATGTTCATTAATTAAGTAAAGAACCGAAATATCTGAGATGGATAGCACATTCTAAAAGGCTAAAATGTACACATAAAGTTTAGATATTGCTACAAAAGCACGCAAAAAAAGTTTTATTAATCCTCTCATTCTCTTTCTTTCTCACTCGCATCGTTTCCTTGTTCTTAAGAGTCACGACCTCTCTCCTTTACCACCTCTAAAAGGCTGTTCTTTTCCTGTATCTTTTTTTTTTGCAGTTCTTCAGTGTTTTACAGTTTTACCTTTAGTTGTCGCTTTAGTTAATTCAATCTGTTTTGGGGATTTTCTCTTAATTATGATGTCACAGAGTAGGCCTCCCGCAACCGATCAGATGGACAAATATTGGTTAAGATCACTCGGGTAAACTGGATAGTGGCAATCGATGGAAGAGGTCTATGTTCAGCAGTAGAAAAACTTCGACTGATGTTTACATACCTGGGCACCATTCTGCACCAACAGCTTGACCACAGTCTCCTGTCCAGCCAGAGAAGCGATATGCAGAGCGGTGTTTCCCTTCTTAGTCGCCGCATCGATGGCAGCGCCACGCTGCAGCAATTCGCGGACAACTTCCACATGTCCGTCCTTCGAAGCTAGGTGAATTGCATTGAGGCCATTCTGTTAAAATTAATAATTTATCATGTTCACTGCTTAACAGGCCGATATGGACCTGACGCGGTACTTAAACTAACGATGAAGATAACTATGTCACTCTCGCTAGTGCGAGAGATAATTAATTCAGGCGTATACATTACATTACATAAAATGTGTACATTAATTTCCACAATTAAAATAGCGATTTATTTTAAAAACAAAAGGGGGGCAATCGAGCGGCGCGATCACCGAGGTGGTCATGACGCCCATGGACATCCGTAACACCAAAGGAACCACAGATGCGTTGCCGGCCTCTGAGGAAATAATAGGCTCGCTTCTTGAAGAACCCTAAGTCGTATTGGTTTGAAAATACCGCCGAGGACGGAACTAATTTAATCTAATACTAGTACTGGTCTAAAAAGGCCTGCCACGCACTGGCAAAAACATTATTGGGGGCGCATTCTGGCCTACCGCCGCACCAGATTAAGAATTATGATTTTACTTACAGTAAACGTGTTAAAAAGTCTTACATAACTTGTGAAATATGGTTATTGGAAAAACGCGTCTCATTTTACGGAATGTTATATCTTAGAAGGATCGCTTATATAAAAAGCAGTACGTCCTTGATATTGATGAAAGGTCAGTGAAACAATAACCTCGTCTCGGCCAACCTTTGTTAGTAATAAAAGCCTCGACACGCACTAGTAGGCTGAAGATATCACGCACAATAACTCTTACGAAATAGTAAATCTATATGAGCAATAACACTGGCATATTGTTACCGAGAGTTCTTGAACTACCTAATAGGTAGGTCTAAAAGTAACGAAGTTCCCAACCATACGGTGGCATGACACATTAGGGGTATATTTTTAGGTCTAGATTGCCAAAAGCAATTATATGTAATTTCAGTTTTTATTACTCTATTAATTTGAAATATAATCAAATTGTGCACGCGATATAGGAGTCTAACAGCCTAGTAATAAGGGACATTTTATCGTGTACGAAAGCTTTCAGTTCAGTGAACGATAGTTTGCCACGCGACAACAGGCACGGCATACTGCAGCTATGTCTGCAATCACCTATTTGCGCATATTAAAAAAAACTATGTAAAGCTTAAGCCTTTCAAAGTACGATAAAAGATTCTGTCACATAACGTGTCGTTTACTACACTACTAGCTGTTACCGTGTTTCATCCGCATGAAATAAAAACTTCATTTTTTTTACATTTGTTTAATTCTCAATTGACAAATGTCAAAATGTTATCATAATAACCTTGCTTCCTTAATGTTGGCAGCTTGTAGTTTATGGCTCCTTCCCCGCATGAAGGATTTTTTCCCAATTTATTTACTACTAACTGTTCCCGTGCGGTTTCATCCGCATGAAATTATGAACATTTTATTTCATTGTTTGCATTTATCAAATAATCAACAATAAATGTCAAAATGGCATGACCTGACAAACCTTGGCAATCTTACTTCCTTGATGTTGGCAGCAACTTATGGTCTCTTTCCTACATAAGGGTTTTTATCAAAAATATTTACCCCCTAAGTTAAACGGCATGAAAATATATAGCCTAAAGCGTGTCGTAAGTGTAGGGCATTTTGTTAAAAAAATAATTATTCAAAAATATGACGTGATTGTCGACATCGTATGCCATAAAGTAGTGCGTATTACTCTTTGTTGTATTAGTATAGATAAAAGTGGTTACTATTTTAATGTTCATATACTATTTGACGCTATATTTAATAAAAAAAACAGCCTTATACAGGTCTACTGCATATTAAATTTTACTTTCATCCGTTAGGGGAATTTTCCCAAAAATAGTAATAGTATATCTCCTTTATGGACCTTTTTTTTATAACATAAGGAGGCAAACGAGCAAGCGGCCACCTGAATCCGCCAAAATGGCGAAGCGACCGCTGCCCACAGACATCCGCAATAGCGGACGCGTTGCCTACCCTTATCCGACGGAGGAGGAGACGCACATAAAGAGGATATTTCCCCTTTCTATACATGTCCTCCACCGTCAAATCCACTTTCTGTTTCCATCCTCTCCTTATAAGAAAAGGGTGGTAACGAGAAAGGGACTTAAATTAGGCCTCCGGCACCAAAAAAAAAACCGGACCTATCTTATATTGGACATTATTTTATGTGTACATAATTATAAGGCAAAGTACACATTCACACAACACAAGTGTTCTTTACAAGCCCTTATTCATGAAGGAAAAGCACTCGTTTTCAAAATAGTGATGTGTGCATCTACTGTTTTTAAAACATAAATTACTGCATTTTCCTTGCAAATTACACTTAGCACAGCAGTCTACTAGTGATGTTAATTTTACAATTAAAGTATTAATTTTAAAGATTTTATAATAAAATAAAAACAAATATTTAATGTCACAATAAGTTTCAAATACATTGGAGAGAAAAAAGAGGATTTCTCTCGTAAGACACAGAAACAAAAGCCTCAAATATGTATACTGTGCATTTGTTTGCCAGACATTAATGTTTACATAAACTTTTTTTAAGTCAAAACATCGACAACAGTAAGGTCACATCACTAACTCACGCATACACGTTCGTTGTATCCACACCCACTAGTATTATTTCTAGTGTATACGGTACTACTAAACCCGCCGTGCCGTAGTGCCTACTAAGCAAACACGTAGACTTTATGTTAGGGGAGTTGGTAGGGTTGTCACCTCATTGTCTTGAATTCTTTGGCTTGGTTTGTTTGGCAGGCCTTATGGACGGTTATTGGCAATTGCCAATTGACATCTGAAGGCTGCAATAAGTTGAAAGAATAATCCCTACTATTTAAAGGACAGGGTACAGTTGTACAGAAAAACAATAAGAGTAGGAAAGGATAATAATTATCCTCTGGCAAACACTTATCGGACATATCGTAGATTAACTTCTATATTACGCCTGTAAATTAATTATAAAAATAGTAAATAAAACACTATTTGTTGACCAAAAAAAAATTTAAAAGAACACAACTTACAAACCATAATACTGAAAAAATTAAGATAAAAATACTTGGTCAAAAGGAGAAGGCTCAGCTGATGCGGCCTCAAGCTTGTCACTGAAGGCCGCGCTGGTTTTCTCCAGTTTAATATAAACATTTTTCTCCGCTAGTTTGGGTTAACATATTCAAAGTTGACAACCCTACATCTGCTTGTTTATATAGCTCCCTATGGACCTTCGCGCAATATCCGTTGCTACTTTCCTGTCTTGAGGGTTTCCTCGAAACAACAATTCCAACCACATTTTCAATAAAAGGCAGAAAAGTTTGATTACTATGAATTCTTTTGGTAAATAAAATTTAATATCTATACTATCTATCTATCTATCTATATTCTATATTCTATATTCTATATTCTATATTCTATATTCTATATTCTATATTCTATATTCTATATTCTATATTCTATATTCTATATTCTATTCTATATATCTTATTATAATAAAGCGTAAACACACACTTCTTTATTACCTAAGATGTCGGCAATTACAGCATTTTTTTAATAGTTCTTTTTTAATAAATAGTCCTACACTTACGTCACGCTTTAGGATATATATTTTCACGCCATTAAACTTAAGGGGTAAATTTTTTGGATAAAAACTCTCATGTGGTAAAGAGACCATAAGTTGCTGCCAACATCGAGGAAGCAAAATTGTCAAGTTTTGTTATGTCATGTCATTTTGACATTTGCAATTGACAACTATATTTCATAAAATGTATATATGTTGTAAAATGTATCATGGTATAAATAAAAATGCACAAAAAATTAAGAGTAAAGAAGCAATATTACAGTAAAGTTTTTAAATTTAAACAATCGAATTAACTATGCTATTTTCTCAAATTGGATACTACGTGGATTCAAACTAGGACGAGTTCATTTTCACACAAAAATAACGTCGTATTCAAATCGCTCTTAACGCCAAATGCGTCCATATTTGCAAAACATTGTTATTCCAAAAGAAAATATGAAAAGGGTAATTTTATTCAAGCTTATTTCAAAGAAATATGTTAATCAGGAATGACTTTATATCCCTTAATACGAAGTAATATCCGTTTATATTACAAAGCATTATTTGGTTATGATTTTTTAAAACGGGTACAAAAATCTACAATAAGTATGTTGTTACTTTGACCTGAACAAAAAAATTATATGTATGTTTATGTCATAAAGATATACATAAAAATGCATGAGCATATTAACCTAAATAATTGGTAGCATTATGTGGTGTCAAGGAAAAATATTTCATGAAACTCATACAAAAACAATCAAGAATATATTGAATATCGTCACACGTTGTATATTCTTTAATTAAAACTATTTTAACAAAAGAACCAGTCTCATTGAAGTAGGAATATATTCTCATCTAGGTAAGACATAGTTTAATAAATAAATATGCATAAAAGAACGGTCTATCCTCGGCGGTATTTCCAAACCAGTACGACTTATGGTACTTTAAGAAGCGAGCCTAATTTCCTCAAAGGCCGGCAACGCATCTGAAGTTCCTCTGATATTGCGGATGTCTATGGGCGGCGTTGCCCACTTCTGTGTACCCGACGATCGTTTGCCCCCTTCTTTTATATAAAAAATAAAAGTACTTACAGCATTGCTAACGTTAATGTCGACTCCTTGCTCCAGAAGGCTAATGATCTTCTCAATTTGTCCGGCGCGTGCCGCACGCAGGAACGCCGTGCTGGCATCCGCCTGTTAACGTAAGTGTACTTTTAAATAAATTCATTAACTAAAAAACAAACTTTCATCAACACACATATAAAATTTAATTAGATAAAGAAACAAACACGTGAGTTAATCCGCCATCTTTAACTCTGTGTAAGTGCTGCCATCTGTTACGTGATTACATTAAATACATACAAATATCGGCAAGCAATTTTATACCTTTATGTAAATACATAAAGCTCATTATTTCTGCTGTATTTTGTAAACTACCTATTTCGTAAAATACGGAATAAATTGTTTCTTTGTGCCTTTGTAAAGCTGTTCGCGGCTATTGTTGGCTTGAATAAGTGTTCCGTAGGGTAGTGCGAGAAAACTCGACACTACAATGTACCTTTTGTTTGAACTTTTTTAAATCTATACTAATCGTGAGAGTGTCGACTTTTGATCTCCATTCTCCGATAACTTAATCTATATAATTTTACTGTCAAAGATTAAATAAGACTCGAAAGTACTATCGGGGATACTGTCGGTGTTACATTAAAAGGTTTAGTCGTGACGTTTAGATGTAAAAGGGAACACTTTAGTTATGAGTGTGGTTTACACAGGTAAAAGTTGGCGGAGAAAGAAATGGATTTCGTGAAAGAAGACATACCCAAGAAATGTTAATTGATTCAATAGGGTGAGTTTACATAATATCATACTTCATACTAATATTATAAATGCGAAAGTTTAGATGGATGGACGGATGTTTGATAAGAGTTTTTAGCCTAAACTGCTGAACGGATCTTGATGAAATTTGACACATATGTAGAGGGCAGTCTGGAAAAACACATAGGCTACTTATTTTTGTTTTTTTTTCACGCGGACAAAGTCGAGGGCGAAAGCTAGTTTTACATACATTCAGAGCATTAATCTAAGCACTCGAATCTTTCCTCTTTATCCTACTCACGTAAAGTCGACGTAACAGGTTTTTGTTCTCCAGATAACTTTATCCAACTCAGTTCAATCCCTCCTTGATCATTGTGTCACGCAATTCATCCATCTCTCTCACGTCTACTTCTCTCTCATCTCTACTTTATACTCTCCTAGTGCGGGATAGAAACAAATGACTATAATGCATAATAAAAGATATTTGAGTGATCACTCCTCCAAGGTAAATTAACCCTTCTCAATAGATGAAGTGATGCGAGAGACATAATCATACGACCTATTTACTACCACTAGTTTTTTCACTTAATAAGTTAAATAGACTGCACATGTTTATATTTAGACGATGCTGTAACTGCGTTTTTATTATTTTTTTAATCTATACTAATATGATAACAAGTAAAAAAAGATTTATGTATGTATTTGATGCACGTAAAAACTACTGGGCCGATTTTAAAAATTCTTTCACTGTTAGAAAAGTAATTGATTTGTGAGTAACATAGGCTATGTTTTTTATTATTTTTTTAATTTACGGACACGAAATCGCGAGCAGCAGCTAGTAATGTTATAACAAGAAAAGATTTTTATTTTTATATATATTGAAATAACTTAAAAACTACCAGGCCGATTTAAAAAATTCTGTCACCATTAAGAAGCTATGTTATTAGTGAGTAACAGGCTATGTTTTTTCTTATTTTTTAATTTCATACGGGCGTGGTCGCTAGCAACAGCTGGTACTAAGTAAAATAGATGCTATGAGATTAGTAAAAGTGTTTACTACTTTATTATAATGGGTTAGAGTTGAATATTGAATCGTGGAGTGGCAAAGGGTAGTCGGAGAACCAAATCGATAACTACAGCGCCAGACGGGTTACGTAAGCCTCAAGTTGAAGTTAAGCTTTATAGCCTTTGCATTGTCTACGGCACGAACGTGATAAACGTCTACGGTTTATTCTACGCCGTAGCTACTAGCTACAGATTAAGTTATGTGGCCTGAAATTGTTAGGCCTTACGTGTTTGTAGATTTTACTGAAAATGTCTAGACTATGCTTTATTTAGTATTAGCTTTTGCACGCGATTTTGTCTGTGTGAAATTATGGAATGTACTGAAAATTATGACATTACTCAGTCACAATGTATCTTGCTAATGGCGTAAGATTTTTTTTTAAAGTTTTTTAAGTTTATACGTTAAGTACAAAAGAATGAATGAAATAGTTATGAATATGGAGGGGTACACTGGTAGAGGTAGAGAAAGAGATGGATTGCGTGAAAGGTGACATGATCAAAAAGGGAGTGATGATTGAGATGACGTATGATAGAGTTATGTGGAGGACGAAAACCCGGTGCGCCGACCCTACGGGAGTAGGATAGGGCAGGTGAGATGATAATATAAAAATATGAATCTATTTAATATAAATGAGGTATATTACTGTATTAAATAAAGTACAATTATTAAATAATGTATGACGTGTCTGACAAAAATAATATTCTTGTATTTAGAAACTAATGCCCACTTACATTTGAACTTACTTTAGTTATGTCATTTTCTATCTAAATAAGGGAAGTAAAAGATTAAAAGACTAGCACAACACATTAATATTTCACACCTTTAATATTTACTTTTTAATTAAGCGCATTATAGGTATAAACCAATTTCTTTTACACATCTTAAAAGGTTATTGAATTTCCCCGACCTAGTTGTCAAGAGATGCTTCATGTAGATGAAGTGGCCGATACTAAAGTCTAGAACTAGCATCTCTGAGCTACAAAGAGTGCAGTAAAACTACCCACTTCTATGATGGTCATTTTAAGCTTATCGAGTTTATTACAGTTGTTGCTAACCGATATCCACGAGAGTCGGTAGATAAGGAGTTAAGAACTTGATTTATAAACTGCAAGATCCTGGTTTCGTTTGCCGCCTTGTACCAATGTATTTTCTGAATTTTGAGATGCACCACATATCGGTGAAAAAATTCAAAATTAATTGAAGTCAACAAACACTTGACCAACGTGGTTTACTGTGGCCAAGTCACCTCTCACCTAGGGTAGGCTTCGAGACCATCAATGGTAACGTATAGTTAGCTGGTGATGATTTCCAATGTCTTAACAACTACAAAAACTAGTTAAACAAATGCTTCGAGGGTCTTTTGAAAGATTTCCTCTATCTTTAACTCTATATTCAGGGTAATCTACATTGAATTATAAAAATTATTATCAAAACAGTGTCTGTAATTAGTCTGTGTACATGTATGCACGAAGTTCCATCAAAGTCTGCACTTAAAAGGCTTTAGTTGCAAATATGTCAACCTTATACCTAAGTGACGTAGGATTGCGGTCAAGCGGTGGTCTGCTTTTTTAATCTGTGTAATATGTTTTAATCGCATTAACGTTGCAACTTCAACACGTCATTTTAACATTACTGCCTTACATAATAAATAGGACACTTTAGTTTAAAATAGCTCAACTGATTTTCAGACAAATAACTTATTAGTTACAAAAACACGGCTTAACTGACGTGAACAATTTGGTATTCACAGCGGCAGTTTCGAACCCGTTGGGGGTCCTTCATCAAGCTGTGTTTTGTAATTAATAAAGTATAATGTCTCACGTAAGTTTTAATAAGTTAAATAACTTATTATACGTTTAAATTTTTATGTAAGCTAGCTGTTAAAGGTAGTCTATGACATTCCTTCGTTTATAAACATTCCATCAAGTTTTGTCAAAATCGGTCCAGTAGTTCTGAATATTCTTAGAAACAAACACTTTAAAAAATGTATTTTCGTTAGTAAGAACGTAAATACATCATGTTCATGAGATATCATTTTTTTAATATTAAGTCCATAGATGTCCGTTCTTTATGATTGTCATTTGATTCTAATGCTTTTCTGTTTGGACAAAGCATTGAAAGAAATAATCAAAGAACAGAAAATAAATACGCAAAGGTGTATTTGAGACACACTTTAAAAATACTTCAACATAATAAGGCGTCTAGTTTCGTTCACCAAGGTTGAACTTATGGCCACTTGTGAACATTTGAACGAGCGTTCAAATGTAGGGTTCCGGGGAAACAATGAAGGTTTCCTCGTTAATACACGAAAGGGAGATTCGGTGAAAGGATTCCATAATGACACTTTAAAGTAATCGATAAATGAACAAGTGCAAGTGCAATATGAAATTGTTGTTCGTTTTGTTGATAATATATGGCGTCAGTAGCATTTTACATCTCACTATGATTTGATCGCGATTACTAATTTCGAGGTTATATAGTCATTTCCTTATGTTTACGTGTTATCCAATGTTTATTCATGTTTTGTTTTTAAAGTAGTTAATTTATCACAAAAAAAGTTTTGAATCTTAGTTCTTTTCATTATTTTGTAATTAAAATAATAATTTTCTGGCGACAGATACAGTGTTAAGAAGTTGCATGCTTACATAGTCGGTGCAGGGCACGCGGACAATTATTTCACACCCCTTACGAGGGGTGGACTAACCCTCAGAGACATTATACGTGGCAGTTAGTTGGGTGAATGTTTATGTGAGGGTAGTTTTGAATACAGTGGTGATTTGTGAAAATGAGAACAACATTTGTAATAAAGTTACGATTCAATTAATGGAATTCTATACGCTAAAATCATTTATTTTGATTTCACATAGGATGCTGAGGGACATCTGTGTGATAAAACGCTTCTATAAGTAACCGACGTACCCACAACAGGTCCAAAACTAGAAAATTCTGTCATCGGAAGATAATACGTGAGTTAAGTCTTTAATTAATTGTTGTTAATGTCTAACCAAAGTATAAACAATCTAAGTGACTCTACATATCCACAAAACTGTAATCAAAACCGAAACAAAAGAGAACGTATCGAATTACTTCTCTCAAGAAAGTAAAACCTCTCAAAGTAGTTTAAAAAATAAATCATCATCATCCACTTGCCCTTATCCCTTATGGAGGGTCGGCACAGTATGTGCTGCTCTTCCATACATCTCTATCAGCCGTCATATCTGAATCCACTCCTTTCTTAAGCATATCCTCTTTCACACAATCCATCCATACTTTCTTCGGTCTTCCTCTTCCTTTGTAGCCATCCACATTCAATCAAAAAATTAAAAAATAAATAATAATCAATTTAAAATAACTGCATCTTCTCAACCCTCCTTTATAAAACAAGATGAGTCATCTATCTTGGAACATAAATATCGGGACTAAGAAAAGTTATGTTTTTCTTTACGGTCATGGCAATAATAAATTATGTATTTTAGGGGACTACCCTCAGTTTAAATTCCTATGCTGGCAACGATCCAGATTTAGTAATCCTCCCCTAAGCTTTCAGCCAGATGGTCATTCTTCTGGATAAAGTTTGTCTAGATGAACTTTTCCGGCTTTCCCTAAAGACTTATTTATTTAGGTAAGTACGTAATACGAGTATACATAAGAAAGTATAGATGGATGGATGTTTGTTAGAGTTTGTAGCTCAAACGACTGAACGGTTCTGGACGAAATTTGGCACAGATGTGTACGTAGTCTTGAAGAACTGTTTTTTTTTTAATTCCACACCGACGGAGTCGCGGCAAAAGCTAGTATTTATAAAAGTCCAAAGGCATTATACAATAAATTAATAGACAGAACAACTCGAATAAAATTGTAATTTCTAGAAGTAGTATCAAGTAACATTTGTTTGTTTAGAAAGTCGGTAAATGTTTTCAATTCTCTGTACTAATTCAATACTTTTAAAAATAAACCCCTAAACACCCAACTTTGACCGATAGCCGTGGGGTTGATCAATTGTCGATAAGCCACCCTCTAACGCTACGTCATCCTGGTGACGTCAGAAAGGGGACATGCTCTTAAACGATCGATGTCATATTAAATATAGAATTGTATTACTGAGTAAATTCTTGTATTTATATATACCATTGGTTTTATGTTACTGATTTTAAGGTACTTTAACATAAGGTCATGTTTCAAAGCATCATCATTTTCTTCAGGTGGAATCGTGGACAAGAGCTAGCTCAACAAACTTAAAAAACCCTCTCTTTTTGTCATGTCAAGTACCAACTTTTTTCCAGTGACTCCGTTCGCGTGAAATTTAAAAATGTTAATAAAAAAATATATAGCCTATGTTACTCACAGATAAATTACCTTTCTAACGGTGAAAGAATTTTTAAAATCGGCCCGGTAGTTTTTGAGCGTATTCATTACAATCAAACAAACAAAGTTTTCCTCCTCATAATATTAGTATAGATATTTCTGATTAACTTATGGTATCTTTAGACTAAATTTAATATATAGTTCATAAGGTTATTCAAAACTTACGTATTCATTTGCAACAATTTTGTTATTTCAATATTAAAATATAACATTTAAAAATACGAAGAAACTATGAAAAGATAAGTGAAAACAATCTTGTGGTACAAGCAGCGACACAAGTACATTCACAAAGACAAACGAACGACAAACAGTTGCTCGACGTCCTTTGTGCACGAGCTTATTCAAGCTAGGCTTTGCTAAACCATGCTCTATTGTTTAGATGATTGTGGCTATTATCGCTTGATAATGGTGCATTAATTGCAGCGACCGTCTCCGTGCTAGACGGCGAAGATTGCATGCATTGTGAGGACTTTCTAACGTATGCATTTTCTTTGTGTGAACATCTTTTTTTATTTACAGTACAGTATCTTTAGAGATTTTGATATTGATAAGGTTTAAAGTAATCTTAATCTATACTATTATAATATAGCGTAAACCCACACTACTTTGTGGCATAAGATGTCAGCAATTACTGCATATTTTTGGATATTTCTTTTTTTAATACAAAGCCCTACACTTACGTCACGCTTTAGGCTATATATTTTCACACTATTAAACTTAAGGGGGAAATAAAATGGATAAAAACCCCAATGTGGGAAAGATGCCATAAGCTACGAGCTGCCAACATCAAGGAACCAAGGATGTCATTTATTCATTTGAATTTTGACATTTCACAAATGTAAACAATAAAATAAAGTTTTTATAATTTCACGCGGATGTAGCCGCAGGGAAACAGCTAGTTTGTAATATTTGTGAAAACCGTGACTTATACTCTTAATGAAAATTCAATTAAAACAGATTTCTAACTTTTTCAATAAAGAAAAAATCTTTTTTCACTAAACCTGCGAAGCCTAAAAGGTATGTTTTGTTAGCATGAAAAGCATTTCAGATAAAGTTTTGCCAAAGCGAAGTTTTTGTACAACAGCGTGTTCGGAATATCTGTCGTGTTTTTGGCAACTACGAGTATATGCTTTTATTTTTCACGTTGCCTATTTTTTTATTATTTCGGTAATAACCAGGCTGTGTAGAGCTTTATTGACACTAATTACAGTATGTAATAATGTTTACACAAAGACGCAGGTAAGAGCTAGTTTTATGTAAAAACACATGAATAATAACAAACAAACGAAGCAGACATCGATCACACATCTATTAACGTGGATAACCACAAATGCTTCTAAAAGTAATTTTCAAACTCAATTTTATTAGTGTTGAAGGTTACAATATGAAACTACACGATAAAATTGAGACGTTTTGTTTGAACAGAACACAACAAAACTTTTCTGAGTTTTATGACTTTTCGTGTGTTGTGTAAAATATTAAATACACGAGAAAACCTAATTTTAGTTCATAAAAACCAATCTGATCTTTTAGCAATTCGATGTTGAAAAAGCAATCAGGTTTAAGTACGAAAAGGTCAAGGCATTGACCTTTCAGAAACAGATATCGTGTTTGACAACGTGACGTTATTGACATTCTATATTTGGGATATTGATTTATTCATATATGGTTGCCAGAAACCAGTCTGGATTTGCCGAAAAAGTTGACATAGACATTCTGCCTACATCTAATATCTATTAGATATTCTCTACTATTATTGTTATTTCCCCTACTTAAGGGTTTCCTCCATAGTTTCCTATTTCCTAGTTATTTTAGTCTATATCTTGATAATATTCAAAATGCGAAAATTTAGATGATATCATGGATGGATGTTTGTTAGAGTTTGCGGACTAAACGGCTAAACGGATCTCGATTAGATTTTGTTAGTTACTTAGTTTTTCTTTTAATTCCACGCGAACGGAGTCGCAGGCAAAATCTTTTCTATAAGTATAAAAAATTATATGAATCTATAGACCCCTTTCATCCCTTATCCATTTAGGTTATACAATCTTGAGGTAGCGATACCTTTAGTAATATTTTAGAGTAATTAATTCCTCTGGGTGTTTCACCCCAAGTAACTGGAAATTTGGAGTTAAAAAGGGGTGTGATTAAGGTGGACAGGTCAATGCACTTGCGGTATATTTTGATTTGAATTCCCTTTATGATGGTAATAAGGTCTGAGCCCCAAACGCAGCGAAGCGGAACATAAGCTATTTAATCGTTAATTATTATTACGATAAAATACGTTATGGTGTTATACCTTCCCGTGAATATTTAAAACATTTAATCCTATTTAGTGTGGTCAGATAATGGTAAAAAACGGTATTTTTTCATTCGCCAAAGTAAAGAATAAAGTCTAGAAAATAAACACAGAAACACATCAGAGTAATACTGAGAAAAAACGTAAAAGTTGACATTGGAATTTACTCTCAAACTAAGGTAGGGAAAATAAATTATTCTACACGTATATTCATCTCCTAAGCGAATTTCGCAATGACCCTGCGGAAGGGCACGTTTCCCTCCCTTATGTGGCAAATGTACTTCTCTTGTATTTTCCAAGCCGCGTAACAAATTACGCATAATTTAACCGTATCCTCAGCCGAGAGGACCGTCGTAAATGTAACCGAATTTACTTTAATCCTGACTGTACAGAGAAACGAGAACAAAATGTTTACGACTGCAAAATAAATTGAAAATGATTTTTGTGCGGCATTATACGCATGTTTTAGGGCTTTGGTGGTATGGATTTTTTTTAAAACAAGTTTTTACAAAATTTTGCTGTTTGCAATTATACAAAAACTCAATTGCTCCTATTAATTTCAAAGATTTTCAGTTTTTCTGCACAATTCAAAGTGTAGATTTTGAATAATTGATTCTGAGATACATTAAATAAACCGCGGCTTGCTGGAAATCACGTCTAATCTAATTTGAATTACTTAATTCATCTATATCTATACTAATAATATGAATATTATAAAAGATTCGTATTTTTATATGTATTCGATTCACGTAAAAACTACAGAGTCGATTTCAAAAATTCTTTCACCGTTAAAAAGGTAGTTTATCTCTGAGTAACATAGGCGATATGTTTTATTCTTTTTTAATTTCACGCGGACGAAGTCGCAAGAAAGAGCTAGTATCAAACATAACGCCAACCCTTTCCACCTACTTAGATATAAAGACATAATTAATTAAACAGTAATTCTATAACGAATAATAATGTAGGCGCAGTACGGGCGTGTCAGGGACACGAACGGTTTAATATTGGTCTAACATGGAAACAATTAGGGTCCATCGGCACTTAGCATACAAACCTCGATATGACTCCACCCTTCATTATGCGAAATAAATTTTACTTGCGTAACCTATTTACTTTTTAAAATTAACAATTCAAGGCTATATTGCCATTAGGGAAGACATAGTTAAACTTGTGTAAGGGTAATATCTTATAGTCTTTCGTGACTTATTGTTACACTATAAAATTTGTATAAATACATATTGCTATCCCTCTTAAAGGGGGTGCACACCTTTGACTAAACTCTTCCATTACTGCTGTGCGCTTGTCGATTGTTTCGCAGCCAATTCAACTGTTTAGTTGCACAACTAAAACCGCGACTAGACATCATCACCAGCTCACTATACGTCCACACCGAGGGGCTCGGAGCCTAACCTAAAGTTAGGTTGACTAGGCCATAGTCAACCACGCTGGCCCAATGCGGGTTGGTTGACTTTACACATATCTTTGAATTTCTTCTCCGATATGTGCAGGTTGCATCACGATGTTTTCCTTCACCGTAAGAACGTCGGGTAAATTATGTGCATATGAAAATACGAAAAATCGAAAATCACATTGGTACATGGCGGGATTTGAACCCAAGACCTGTAGATTACAAGTCAAGTGCTTAAACCACTGAGCCACCGACGCTCTGTCGGTCGACGACTAGACAATCAACGGTGTATTATATCTATAACTATAGGTATTTTAACAAAACATTTTATACATGTTCGAGATAGGCATTTGTTCCGCTTTGTAAATTAAATTTACATGTAAATATATTTGCGTACTGGCTTGCTGAACGTAATTCCTTTGTTCTCGTTTGCTCTGTGGTAAGCTGGGGATTGCGGGCTCGCTGAAGCCGTACACGCTTGTGTCAAGGGCGATGTCTAATAGCAAATCACATTGCCGTGTTTAAACTATTTGCAAATATACGTATATTTAAAAACATTTCTTATTCGAATAAAATTCAATCATAATATTTAGTGTGTAAATTCCCTGCCGTTATCTCAATCTATGTAGTTAGAGTAATCTTTCGTTCTCCATTTCTATCTATCATTTTAGTCGACACTCCCTTCTAGATCATCACATTTCACGCAATCCATCTCTTTCTATGTCTACTTCTACCGGTGTACCTCTACACTAACAACTACGGTTCTCCTTCTCTCATTCTTTTCTCTTAACACGTTTAAACACTTCTACAATTAAAACCAATTCTTAGATCATACGCACACCTGAAACTAAATTATTTCACTTTTTTTATAATATAAGGTGGCAAACGAGCAAGCGGCCACCTGAAACCACCGAAAAGGAAAGCGACCGCTGCCCATAAACATCCGCAATTGCAGACGCGTTGCCTACCCTTAACTGACGGAGGAGAAGACGCACATAAATAGGATATTTCCCCTTCCTATGCGTCTCCTCCACCGTCAAATCCACTTTCCCATCCAATCCTTTCCTTATTTAAAAAGGGTGAAACGGAAAAGGGACTAAATTGAGCTTCAAATAAATTATCCAATACTCGAACAAATTATCTTACTTTATGTCTAGCCATCATCAATCTTCCTCTTCCATATGCTAAAGAGATGCTATCGTTATATCTGAATCCACTGCCTTCTATAGCATATCCTCTTTCACCATCCATTCATACTATCTTCGATCTGCCACTACTTTTGTAGCTTTTTATTTATCACTAAATTATTTATATTAAATTGAAAATTGGAATGAAATTTAACGTAACATGCACAAACTGCAAATTGAAGAGGCTGGAGTATCGCCGGAACGTTTCACCTCAAAGTAAACACAACAGCACTCCAACATGCCAGTTTTACTTTTTAAAATATCTGCAACTGGTTTAAATATTTTATCAACAAATTTATATATTAAAATAAATGTACTCTTTTCGAAATTCCCCACCCAAGAGTAAATTAAAAAGTAAAAGTCTGTAGTGGTCGGATTTCTTTTTTTATTCAAACGAGCTCGCAATTTAAAAAACAAAATGTACATAGATATGTAGCAAATAACATATAATTTTACTTATATTACGGTTAATAATCGATAAAACAAACAGAATAGTACATTTTACTTTATCTACATAAAACTCCAATTATATTTTTAATTCCAAGCTTTTAATAATGCTATAAAGTACAAAGGTTATGTAACCTCAGCCAAAAATCCGGGGGTATGTCCTTGACACGAGCGCCTGCTAAAATATTGCGGCAAAATACCTGTCATACATACCTGGTTCGGCGTCGCCGTTTCGGTCGTCATCTCTCCGAGAGACGTCAATCTACTGCTCCTTCGGCGACATGAACGATTACTATGTCGTGGGAGCAGCACGCCCAGCCGAGTTCTGGATTCAACTGGCCATCGATGTCCGTACTATCGATTAGAATCGTGTCCTTGCACTCGCGAACCGATACTCGATTCAGCACTGGCACATAAATGCCGAAGAATTTCCTAATTTTTTTTATGAAGAAAAGGACATTCTAAATTCAAATCGAAATTCGCGTGTCCGCCATTTTCCTTTTCGTAAAATCCTTAACACATCTAATCTAAAATTAAACTAAACGATTAAAGCGATACACAGACATTATAACTATTTAATATGATTATTTTCAGTTAAAATTATTAATATTTTCCTCGAACTAATTGTTGCGCTTGGGACGTCACCGCCGGGGTGAAGGATACGCCGGCTTTGGCGGCGGCGAGCTCGGCCCGGGTGGGGTGGCACTTCTGCGACTGCGCGAAACGTTCTCTTTGTGTGCGTAATTTGCGTGTATGCTACAATTCCGACCAGTATAAAATAACCTGCGCCCTCCCTCACCAACGGAGAAACTCCGTACCACTAGGAAGTTTTATCGGGTAAAGGAGGTCACTTAAACCTGGCTTCTATTCACAAATACAATCGATATCGCAGAACGTTCAGATGGTAGGAAATGTCAGACATGGTGTCGGGCAGACAAAGAGAGAATAAAGATTCGCAAATCTATAAAATGCTCTTTCATTATTTAATTTCACAATAAGGCAGGTAAATTCTTTTTTGCCTTTTTAATTATAAATGACAACATTTACCTTTGGAAATTAACTGCCTGTAATACATAAATACAAATGTAAATAATCATACTTCATACTAATATTATAAATGCGAAAGTTTAGATCGATGGATAGATAGATGTTTGTTAGAGTTTGTAGCCTAAACTGCTGAACAGATCTCGATGAAATTTGGTATAGATTTAGAGGATAGTCTGGAAGAACACATTGGCTACCCACTTTTTTTTTAATTCCACGCGGACGGAGTCGCGGGCGAGAGTTAGTAATAGTATAAACATTACAAAGCTAATAGTATAAACATGTGCTGACTGTGTATATGTAGAAAAACAGAAACAGAAGTAATCTGTTTTAGTAATCAACTGCGACAAATTCTGCGTAACCTTACTGAGGACGATAAATTTATGTAACAGATGGTACGTCGTAGGAACTTAATGAGAAACAAGTATAAATACTGCAATTTTTTATGCGAAAATATCAAAATATGTTCATATATTTCTCCTTGTAAACATCTAAATAGAAGTAAGAAATATAATCAAAATCAATGTATGATTTTGTTCCTAAAAATTAATAGATTCTGTTGTAACTTTCCCTTCGTAAGACAATACTGTTTTTCAGTTTTAATGAATTCGAATAAAACTCGATATATTCTGGACGAAATGTGTGTAACTTTGTTGACTTAATTGCGTTATGTTATGTAAAGTTAACGTAAAATGTCGTTTGATTGCCACTTTTGTTGCATGGCAACCAAAAACGAAACAAAACTAACATCGCTTAATGAAATACTTCAAAGAATTATGTTTCCATTATTATTTGAATATGCAGAAGAGAATTACAGGATTGTTAGAGTGATCATCATCATCTGGGGCTACTCTCAAACTTCCTCTAATATACTCATTTCGTATCTTATCCGTGTTACCCCACATCTATCTTAACATTCGCATTTCTGCCTCATGTAGTCTCCTTTCATCCGTCCTTTTTACTGCCCAATACTCAGATCCATACAGGTAGAGGTTAGAATAAGGTGGCTTTAATTCGTTTTTACTGTAACATTTCCCAATATTATGTTTTCTAATAAATGATTGGCAATGCTGGTTCGAGTCTAACTTAGTTAAAAGTGACTTTGCCTTCAACCAAGCTGATCGTACTTATTGGTTGACTTGACACAGTCTTCGTAAAACTGGCAATTGTCAATAAAGTAAGGGGAATGTCATGATCTCCCCTATATTATCCTACTCCCGTAGGGTCGGCGCATCGGGTTTTCGTCCTCCAAATAACTCTATCATACGTCATCTCAGTCATCACTCCCATCTTGATCATGTCTCCTTTCACGCAATCCCATCTCTACCACCATACCACCATATTTATAACTAACGTCCTTGTTACATGCGATCCATCTCTCTTCATAAAATGCTCATAACAAGTAAGGAGAATGTCTAAATGCAATATTGCACTTGATTCTGCTTATCCATCAATGAGCCAGAGTTCCGCATACCGATTTAGAAGAATACTTGTGCGGTTGTGTTATCGGGCGATCGTTGAATCGCGAACCGCGTTCAACTCGTGCGCATTTAGCCTAAATGAGATCGCTAGGGTTGTCAATGATCACTTATTTTAATTAATATTTATTATTTTTCGATAATATACTCAAACACACATCATATCGAAAATTGGACTACCGATGTTTAAGATAAATAAAATTCCCTTGCTATCTAGTAACTGTTTTTTTTATTCGGTGAAAATAAAGCTAGGAATCGAAACTGCTTGCTACTATGAACTCAACACAAGTTGTAGCGTTACCGGCGCCCTGAGCGACATTCCTACGGTACCTCCCAACTGCAATCCTATACGAAAAAGGCATTCGTTGCGCCCTTTATGTGTATTGGCTACTAGACCAAATGTTTATTAGAAGGAAAATAAAGGCATTATTTTTCAATCCTGCCAACCCTAACCCGACAGAATCCCAGCGTTGCATCCGCACACTCAAATCAACACGGTTAAATTTAGCCAGTCGAAACGGTGATGCCAACGGCTCCGTACCGCTCCCAGCGCCACCCCACACCTCGGTCTTAAGTCTTCGATAACCCAGTATCGGTCTCCGAAGATCCCAGTCTCTGAAGATCTCGGTCAGCGCAAGATCCCAGCGTCAATGAGACCCTAATCTCGGAATTAAATCCTCGCTAATTCAAATGAAGAATTTTCTTTAGTTAAAAGTTGATACGATTTCTAACTTAAAGATCAGTGTTTTTGTGTGTCTGTGTTGAGTTTTATATGAATGAAATGTATTTTATTATAAAAAAATTGAGTGCAAAACTTTAAAGGTGAGTTGATTTTTTTGTTAAAAAATTTACATAATACTGTTTTTTAGTTTTTTAGTTAATCTAGATAAAAATTATAAAAAAATATTTTATGTAATAGGATGGAATATAAAGTAACTTATTGACTTTGTAAGTATATATATGTACTTGTGAAACTCAGTAAGGGAGATATTGTTCTTTGATAAGTAACTATTATATAGTACGAGTATTGTAATTTTAAAGTTTTCTTTTATATTCGCAGTATAAGTTTCTAAGAAAATAAATTAGTTTATTTACCATTTACTGATGCAGTCTTAAAACGGTATTCAACTATCGTAAAAAAAACATAAATAATCAATTCATATTTCCATTCAGAAAAACATATAAAAAAACCAAAGTCCATGGCAACTGTAGAATCACTGGACGTCGATTACATCTGTGTTCTCGCTGTTTGTTTGTCGCCTTCTATAAACTAAAAGTCTCTGTCCACCCCAAAAAACAACTGACAAGAGTATCATCAATTACATTTCGACACCAACTAATGTTTACATTACAAACTAAATTATTTACACCAAAACGTCTGAATCGAATTAATTCCAGAGCCGCAATTTATTTAATTCAACGCCCACGTTAAAAAAATATTTATTCTCGTGTATAATTTAAAATAGACTTAACACATGTTTCCGTCGTTAGAGCTTCAATATTTCTGCCAAGACTACATAAAAATATCGTTCCATTGATAACGCAAATTAACACAAGAAGATTTTTCTAACTAGGTTAACAAAAACAGTTCACACTTCTTCGAAATTTGAACTGAGACGCGACATTAATATGGGAATAATCGCTAACAAAGGCACCCTTTCAGCTACACTGATGAAATTTTGGATTGAAAAAAAAAAGAGACACAAATCGACATTGACACTTACCTAGGACTAGCTGTTTCCTTGCTGCTTTATCCGTATACAATTATAAAAACTTTATTTTGATTATTTACGTTTGTCAATTCTCAATTGCAAATGTCAAAATTACCGTAACCATAATAACCTTGCTTTCGTAACATTGGCAGTTTGTAGTTTATGGACCCTTTCCCACATGAAGGTTTATTTCCAATTTATTTACCCCCTTAAGTTTTATAACGTGACAATACATAGCCTAAACCGTATCGTTAGTGTTGCGCTTTTAGTAAAGAAAGAATTATTCAAAAATATGCTGTGATTGCTGACATCTTATGCTACAAAATAGTGTGTGTTTACGCTTTATTATATTAGTATAGATGTAGTCCTGAAGGTTTAGTAAGTATAAAATAATAATTATTAATAACTTTTCAATCAGTTTAATTTGTCAGTTTGTTTAAACATTGCTAAGTGATGAACGAATCATATACGATATGGGATCAAAGGAACGTAAAACGTTTGCGTTATTTATTTAGGGTTTCAAAGAATAACATTAAAGTGTAAACATTTTTAAATTAGGAAGCGAAATTAAAAAAAAATCTTAACTACACTCAGATATATTTAAAGTCTTGTGTTCGTTTTACTTTAGTATCTACTAATTATAATTCAGGTATGTTTCTAAAAAATGTTAAATAAAAAGCACGTGGATACGGAAGTGAGTTAGTGTAATCCAGTTTCTAATAGGTAGTACAATCGTGAACAAAACATTTCCGATAAAAGTATTTTTAAAACAAATTATTTACACTGTCAGCACGTGTGTAGTAAACTTAAAATAACGGTAATATTTATTTATAAAAAAAGCTTTTTAACTATAATAATGTATAATAATGTCCTAGGGAGAAAGTTCTTCAGTTTTGCATTGGTACCTTCACAAAGACAGACCTTTGTTAAACTAAGACAGTACCTTTGTTAATAAAGATTGTACCATTGCAAATGTGTACGCGACTGTACCCTAGACTATGTGATCGTCTGATAACAGAGAACAGATGCTCTGTTCTTTTATTAGTCTGCACAGCTCTGGGTCAGTGTTGAACGTCGTAAAGTTTACCGCTCCAAGCTACATTACACTCTTATTTGTTCTAAAGTTTTATACAAATTGTTTTTAAAAAGAAATAAAATCTTTTATTGAATTACTAGCTGTTCCCGTGCGACTTCATCCTCGTAAAATTATAAAAGTTTTATTTTATTGTTTACATCTGTCAAATTATCAATTGCAAATGTCAAAATGACATGACATGATGACAAATGGCAACCTTGCTTCCTTGATGTTGGCAGCAACTTATGGTCTCTTTCCCACATTAGGGTTTTTTATCCCAAAATATTTACCCCCTAAGTTTAATTGCGTAAAAATATATAGCCTAAAGCGTGACGTAAGTGTAGGGCTTTTTATTAATAAAAATAATTATTCAAAAATATGCTGTATTGACTGAAATCTTAGGCATCAAAGAAGTGTGTGTTTACGCTTTATTATAATAGTATAGATACGTTAATATTACATTAATGTACAAGTCTGATTTTCTACGATTGTTAGACAATGAATCTTTTCAGATATATATTTTTTTTGTCTTGTTAAGTTAAAATTTTGCTAACTAATTTAGTTTAAGCGTGGCCTTATAATTTAAAGTGCTGTTATTCAATGTCGTTTCAGCATACGGCCCTCTGTTATTGGATAGTTATTTAATCAGTCAGTATCATTTTCACATTTAAATGCACTAAGATTTAGTGATCACTTAACGAATTATTGGACCGGTTAATCCAAGATCTATCCAGAAATAAATTGGATAAACGTTAACCCAGAATTCGATAGCGGATCATAGTAAGTATTTATGTCTCGGCTTTGAACCCATTATCGATGTGAAACGGAAACGTCGGCAAGCGGCAATAAAACACGATCTTGATGCCATTGATGACGTCACTTAAGGCATACTTGCACTTCGATCAAATTCTCCAAATCTTAAGAACGGTCGCACACCTTTGACTAAATTATTTGCGATTGTCGATTATTTCGTAGCTTTCAACTGTTTATTTGCACAACTAAAAATCGAGTAGTATGCACACCATATAAGCTCAATCAATCAAAACTAGACTAAACAGTTGTGGAATAGTTTAGTCAAAGTGTGCACTGTGGATTTTTTTTATAACATAAGGTGGCAAACGAGCAAGCAGCCAGCAGAATCCGCCAAAATGGCAAAGCCACCGCTGCCCATAGACATCCGCGATCGCAGATGCCTTGCCTACTCTTATCCGACGGAGGAGACGCGCATAAAGAGGATATTGTCCCTTCTTATGCATCTCCTCCACCGTCAAATCCACTTCCCCTTCCCATCCTCTCCTTATAAGAAAAGGGTAGTAAAGATGAAGGGACTTAAATTAGACCTCCGGCACACTCATCAGACGAAACACGGAATTGATTCCATTTCACGCCTGTCTTCTGTGTTGTGATGTTACACCGAGCGTGCCGGCCCATTCGTGCTAAGATGTTAAAGCGGGCACTACTATAAAAGCTGGTCAGTATTATTGTATCTGACATACATAGAACAATAAAACAATTGTTTGTCATAACTCATACTATGACTGACGTCCTTGACATGAGCTCGCAATGTTCCTACGCAACGACCCATCAGTTTTATGATTGTTAGTGCGGGCGCACACATTTGACTACACCTTCGCACAACTGTATCGATTGTCGATTGTTTCGCAGCCAATTCAACTGTTTAGTTGCATCGAGTAGTGTGCATGTGCTCATAGGAATCAAAGCAAGACTAAACAATTGTTCGATATAGTTTCATGTGTGCGCACACTCTTAATATTTAAAATGACAGGAGGTGGAAGAAGTACTATATAAGCTATTGGAAGCTAGAATAAATATCAAGTTTCAGTTGCTTAGAAAAGTACTTACTGTAATGTAGATTTAACCCAAAAACTGCTCACAAAACAGAAGATTAGCGAAATCGCAAGCGTCTTTTGTTTTATTGTTTTCTGTACGAATATAGAAACAGAAAAAAATGTATTTTTGCATTGGAATAACTCTAAAACTACTGGACCTCTTTGGGCATTTAAAAGCTATGTTATCAGGGAGTAATGTAGGCTACATTTTTAACTATTTTTTAATTCCACGCGGACGAATTCGCAAGCTACAGCTAGTAAATAATAAAATTGAGATGACAAAATTTAGTACTTCAACATTTAGTAGATATTACTACTAACACTTTTCTTTGAAATAATTCAGAAATGAATTTATAAAAGTTTTTATTGTCATTTATACGATTTCATTTTTCAATGTCGAATAAATCTAAACAGATAAAATCTGATGGACGGAAAATTACGTTATGACAACAATAAAAAAATGAAATACGGGAAAATGCGTTCGATATCTTTAGATGAACGTTTTAAAACGCGTGTAAATCATTTCGATTTTTATTACATTAAAGACTTCGAATCTTAGGGTAGACAGACAAAGATGATGTACATAGTACAAAATTTACTACTTACATCCAAATTCGACATTTTTTTTATAATATAAAATGACTAACGAACAAGCGGCCACCTGAATCCACCGAAATGGAAAGCGACCGCTGCCCATAAATATCAAACACACATAAAAGGGACAGTTCTCAGTCAAATTCACTTTTTCTTCCCATCCTTTCCTCTTAAGATAAGGATGGAAAGGGAAAGGAACTAAAATTAGGCCTTCGGCACCACACTCAACAGATGAAACGCGGGATTGCTCCCACTTCTCGCCTGTTTTCTGTGTGTATTACACCGGGCGAGCCGGCCCATTCGTGCGAAGATGTTAAAGCGGGCTCTACCACTGTTAAACGATGTTCGACGATTATTAAATGGATTTTATTAGTGAAATAAATTTTATTACAAATACTAAATATGTGTATCATATCTATCTTTGATTTTGTATTACGACTACATCCATATTTGACATCATAATTTAGCTACTGATATTACAATGGTTCTAAATTTGTATAATAATGGGGTATCCTTGTCCGGTTTTGTCAATAATGACGTCACACGTCATATTCATAGACAGGAAACAATCAAAGCCTACAATGTTGAAATATTAACTACTATAAATACGTGATCGAAACATGCATTGTATTAATTTATATTTTACTAGCTCTTGCCTGCGTGTATATCCGCGAGGAGTTTAAAAAAATGGCCTATGTGTTCTTCGAGACTATGCTCTACATCTACGCCAAATTCTATCGAGTTCCGTGTAGCCATTTAGGCGGCAAATTCTAACAGTCATCCATCCATCTAAACTTTCGCATTTTTAATTAATAAGGGCGAAGATTATGACTGTGTGTCTCCATTGTCAAAATTAACAGTGGTAGAGCCTAGAGTAACTCGTTCTCTACCTCCTTTGAACTTTTGCTAACTAAAGATAGTTATCTGCAAATACAGTCTATGGGTAGTTACTTCGCAATTTTGATGAATTCAATTCTATTTAGTTCTATTTTATTACATATTGTTAATATATTTATTAATATTCAGATCTATTAAAAATGTTGACATTCCTTTCACTCTTACTGAATAAAACAGAGAAAACCTTGGTTTTGTTTTTTTTTTATACATTAAGGTGACAAAGGGGCAAGCGGCCACCTTAATCCGTCAAAATGGCAAAGCGACCGCTACCCATAGACATCCGAAATTGCAGATACGTTACCTATGTTTTATCGAACTGGTTCGTACAGCTATTACTGCAGACTTCCACTATTTAAACTTCCTGTAGTTTAAACTACGCAAATAAGATATATTAAAATTAAACAAACAGTATCGTAAATAGATATCTATAATCAACCTTGGTACTTTCAACGTAGAAATATTTTATTTCACCATGTTTATCTAACAAATAGGCCAAGTTCCAGAAACATTGTATCCGGAATGCCAGCCTTGATCGATACAGTTTCGATGTTTGTATGTTGAATGAATGAAATTTTTGAGGTTGTTTTTCACTCATAAAACATCACGCGATGTAAACTCTTACATTAATGGCCGGTTTCCCAGATATGTTTAACACTTCGTTAATGTTTTTAATTCGATAAATTCATGAAATGCGGTTCAGAGTTACTAAACTTGATTTTTACTCCGTTGAAGCATAGGTCAACCTAACACTAATGAATCAGTAGGTAATGACAAAATAAATGGAAACTTCAGAAACCCGGCATAAATGACTTTTAGTTAAAGATGTTTATGAGGTTTTTAACACGATTTTATTCTGTTTATAGCTATATTTTGATTAAATTTTTAAGTCTGATTTTTCTTTTCCAAATGACAGATTCTATTTTGAATTTTAGTTATCAAAAACTGATTTATAAATGTATGTTTTTCAGAAATATTTCCATTTGAAATAACTGTTTTTATAGTTTTCCCGTGTTGCTACATCCACATGATATTATAACTTTATTTTATTAAGTTTACATTAGTCAAATACTCAATTGCAAATGTCAAAATTACTATATTAACCTTACTTTCTTGTAGTTTAGTAGGGACTAGGGTTCCCACCATAGGGTTTTTATCCAAAATATTTACACCCTAAGTTTAATGACATGAAAACATATAGCCTAAAGCGTGTCATAAGTGTATTATAAAGAAGAAATAGGAAATAATTATTATAAAAATGTGCTGTAATCGCTGACATCCTACGCTACGAAGTAATGTGTTTACGCTTTATTACATTAGTATACGAGAATTATTGTCAGACACTGTCTGAATTTAGTTCAGTTTAGTTTTGGTAAAAGTGGAGCATAAAACGTTCACGTGATAAAATTTATGAATTGACTTAATAATGTTGATCCGCCAAGAAGATAGTTATTAATCTTGAATATCCACTTTATATTCACGTTAAGAAATTGCAGAAGACAGAATGAGTTTATTTCAGTCAAATCATAATATTTTTACAAACGCCGGTATTTACTGCGAATGCTCTTTGGTGTTTCGATTTACATTGTTTGCGGACGCTTTTAGAGGGCGTTGGATATTAAAAGAATTTTTAACGATTCCCGATTTTAAAAGCTTTGCTTGTAAATCCGTCTCTGGTGTAAACCCTACTAATACTTTCAGGGAGACCTTGAAGAGATTTTTGGATTTTTTCATTTGACTACAAAAATGTTAAACTAGTTTTGCCCATCGATTGAATATAAGCTATCTTAACAACTTTCTGAGACATAAAACAAGTTTAAAACATTAGGAATGGATAAGAAAGGGAAACACAATTATTTCAGTAGACAGAGCCTCTCTGATCTTACCATTTTTTGGTAAATAAACTTATTTCATTTTAAATCATTTTGGATTACGACTATTAAACTACCTAAAAGCTATTTTTTAATTATCTTGGATAATGGGTGTGGAAGGGTACATCAGTAGAGGTAGACCTTCAAAGAGATGGATGGATTGCGTGAAAGGTGACATGATCAAAAAGGGAGTGATGACTGAGATGACGTATGATAGTTATTTGGAGGACAAAAACCTGTTGCGCCGACCCTAAGGGAGTAGGATAAGGAGAAAGATGATAATGATGATCTTGGATAAGTTTTATCAACAATTTGTAATATAAAAAGAAATTTGCTCTTTTTAATTTATCCTAAAGTAATCATTTTAACTAAGAATTTATTTAACATCTGTAAATTGTACTTTACGATAACCTCAAATCGATGTTGAAATTGTTTTAACTCGTATATCAGCCGTTTAGATCCAGCATCAAATATTGATCTGTAATATAAACAGGATACGATGCAGTGAAGATTA